AATCTTAAAAAAAAAAAAAGTCAGGAAGAGAAAAAAGTACTGTAGAAAGAAAATGAAAAAGATAGTAAATAAATCCAGATACATAAGTATAATATATTAAAGAAAAAACTGTCAGAGTGGATGAAAAGCAAGTAAGTGGTCTGGCGCATGCAGACCTCTGGCCAGCAGGACATGAGACTTCACAGGGTCCGCCGTGGCCTCACACAGATGGAGGTTCATAAAACACATCCTGTTCCTTCTCCATCCTGCCCCCTCCCTCCCCAGCGGTTCTTCTCCAGCCTTATCTACCCAGATTACTGAGATAACATCGTTGTTTTCCTAGCCTTTGCTTCCTGATCTACAATAGATGTGTATGGAAAATTCATGAACTTTCCCACCTCCCAAGGCAAACCACCCTAGGACACCTTGAGGGGCAGATGTGGAGCTCAGCTGGGCTGGGGCAGGGCAGTAGTTGATTGAAAGGACCCTACACCCCAACTCTTCCTCACTCCACTTCTTTCCACACCTCCAAGCCTGGCATTCCTCCCTTAGAGGCTATTTCTTAGGGTGCAACAATGATCCATCCTCTCGAGGTGAAGACTGATAGTTAATTTCTCCATAGCTTTCTCTGAAAATTGGCCAGAATGACAGTCAGAGACTTGGAGATGGGTGAGTTCTTTCTGATTTCATGGCTGCTGACTCTGGGCGGCATCAGAAGTACCGGAACAGAGATCTCAGACTAAAGTCACCTCAGAAGGCAGAGGCTGCCCGAGGGGCTGTGTGTGGGAGTGAGAAGGGCTGAGTCACTGGGACAGCTCTGAGGGTCTGTGGCCGAGGCTGGTGCCAGGATGTTGCAATGCTATGACTTCACGTAGGCAGGCATGCCAAGGTGAAGCAACCAGACACGTCAAGGACATGCCTCACTGGGGCTGAGGCAGGGGTAAGGGAGGGGCTGTCAGCTCTGCTCGCCAAGAGACTGACCGACCTCCCAAAGTACCTTCTACCAGGATCAACTGCTGCCACTCTCAGGAGGCAGGGCACTGTGGATTGAGCACTGAATTTGGGGCCACCAGACCTGGAGAGTTGTTATAGCTCTTACCGCCTGACTGACCTGATTCAGCTGATCTGGGGACTTCTGTGAATACCAAACATGAGGCTATGCCCCCAAATGCTCAGAAATTCCTAAAGCATCTCGCAGCATGAGTAATAACCTACGGTCTGATGCATTTACATTGAGGCTCTGAACATGTCCTCTGGCTACATAGCAGTAGGTGGAAAGAGGATGCTTTCTCAGTATCTTGCAGGGGATTTTCCTTCTCCCCATCCCTTCTAGAATCAAGCAACCCCCCTCCCCCATCCTCTGAGCCTTATTTTGACATTTCTTTTCTCTGCCTGCCAAGAAGATTGTGTTCAGCTGCGCTGTTCTGAGACTGCTATCCTGCTTCATTAGGTTAATTCGATGGCTTGTCTCCTGGGAACTGACCGGAGATGACTCTAAACCGCCCTAACCTCCACACCCACACCCTGCTGTTCTCCTTTTGCTGCTGCCTTTGCTGCTCAATCCCATGTGCCTGCTGCCTGTCCTTTCCTCTACCTGTAAGCTGGCCAGGGCCTCCTTTAGCTTGGGGGGTTCCTTTGTGGACTCAGGCATGCATCCCCTGATTGGTGGAAGGCCCTAGGGGAGGGAGAGCACCTGCTCTTTAAGGCCTTGTTGCCCCAGGCCTTCTGGATTCTGGCTACAGGGCCTGTGTTCTCTCTCAACATCTCTAGCTCAGCCAACCATTCAGGGGATATTTACTGTAAAATAGTCTCACCAAACTTGCTAAAATGTAACCACAAACCACCCAGAACACCATAGCATTGCCTTGCTACCTCTTAAACTTTCCTCCTTAGTCCCTCTCCTCTTAGAGAACTGTTTCACACCCCTTTAAATTGCAGACCCAACCACAAAGAGACTCTCATTGTCCTACCAACAGATGCACTCCCATCCCGGGCCCTTTCCACATGGGCATGCTTCCCTTCTGTTCTTGCTACTCAGGGACTTTGTTTTTTAATTATCTCCTCTTAAGCATCCCATAAGATCCCCCACTTGGGCCTCCCTAGTGGTGCAAGGGGTTAAGCACAGCACTGTGAAGCTGTCTGCAGCCTCTGTAGCACAAGTTCGGGCCAGCCAGGGAGCTACCCACATGGTGCAGCAGACCTCTCCTGTCTTGCCTGCTACTCCCCTCAGCAGTGTATTTCAGTCAGTCTGCCTGTTCTGTTCCCCACTCTGTTCCTAGTAAATCCTCTCACCCCCCACACCTCTGGCCTGTACCCCAGTCCTTATATGCATAAATAAATAAATCTTTTTAAAAAAAGATCCCCCACCATTCTACTTTCTCCCATTCCCTTTTTTTTTGGGGGGGGGTAACACCTTTTTTGAGATATAAATTACATACTGTATGGTTCACCCATTTTCAAGTGTGCAATTCATTGGTGTTTATTCTATTTCAATATTATGCAACTGCCACCACAAACAATTGCAGAGCATTTCATCACCCCAGAAGGAAACACCATACTCATGAGTAGTCACTCCCCATTTCCCCAAAACCCCAGCCCTAGGCAGCCACTTCCCTACTTTATGGATTTGCTTGTTCTGCACAGTTCTTACCAGCGGCATCATATGTGGGCTTCTGTGACTGGCTTCTCCCGCTCAGCACAGAGTTTTCAAGGTTGACCCATGTGGCAGCACGTGTCAGTGCTTCGTTGTTTACATGACCAAATAAGAAGATTCCATGATAGGACAGACCACATTTTGTTTATTTATTCATCAGTTCATGGAACTTTTGGGTTGTTTCCTCTTTGGAGCTAATATAAATGCTGTTGCTGTAATCATTTGTGCACATGTTTTTGTGTGGACAAAAGTTTTCATTTCTCTTGGGCATATACCTAGGAGGAGAATTGCCGAGTCATGTGGTAACTCTGTGTATAACCTTCTGAGGAACTGCCAGCCTGTTTTCCAAATGGCTGCACCATTTCACATTCCCACCAGCAGCGTGTGAGGGTTACAATTGCTCCAAGTCCTCATACACACTGGTTTGATTACAGTCAGCCAAGTGGGCAGGAAGTGGTATCTGGTTGTTTTTTTTTTTTTTTTAAAGATTTATTTATTTATACAAGAACCGGAGTACAGGCCAGAGGTCTGGGAGGGTGAGAGGATTCATCAGAGACAGAGTGGAGAACAGAACAGGCAGACTGACGAAATACACTGCTGAGGGGAGCAGCAGGTGAGACAGGAGAAATTTGCTGTGCCATGTGGGTCAGCTACCCAGCCGGGAATCAAACTCATGCTGCAGTGACTGGCAATAGCTTGATAGTGCTGAGACTTTAACCTCTGTGCCACCAGGGAGGCCCTCCAAGAGCTCATTTTAAAATATAAATAAGGTCATGCCCCTTCTCCCCTCCAAATACTCTTGTCAGATCATAAATCCTCATTCCTTCTAGGCCTCTGTGACTGGCTCCTCAAGCCTTCCTTTCCACATCCTCCCCTGCCTCACTGGCCCACTTCCTGGTATTAGCAGGTCAGATGTGTTTCTCCTAAAGCCCTTTATGCTCTTGTTCCCTCTCATGGGCCCTGTAACTCCCTGTTCTAGCACTCTGTGATGGCCCATGCCTTTGTCCTCACCACTAGGGCAGGGTAGGGGTGCCCTGTCCCAGTGTCTCCCCCCATCTCCCAGCACTGACCTGTTAAACGTCTCTTGATTGAATAAGTGAACCCCACCAACCAGGTGGCCCACAAAGACTGGCCAGAGGTGGGCGCTGCTGCGGAAGAATGCACACTCCCCATCCAAGGGCACACATGGGCTTATCATGAGTGACTAGAACAGCTGTCAAGCTTTGTTTTCCTACCCAGAGTAATGTCCTGCCATTGGAACGTGTTAGTTCCTCTCACTGATGGCTTTGTGGTTTGACTTGCTTCCAAAAAGTCAAGCTGGCACGAGTGGAGGCTGTAGCTGAGGTTCTTGAACACAGAGCCCGGGAGGCCAGCTCTGTAGCTGCTGGCAGTGGCCAGAGGACCCTGGAAGGGCTGGAGCTTCTGGCAAGGGGCTGTGGGACCCAGGGCTAGGTCAGCAGGTTTGAGAGAGGAAATGGTGGGGAAGGGCAGACAGCCAGGATTGAGAGATCCTCACTGTGTGGGACCAGACCCAGAGGCTCCCCCTGAGCCTTGTCCTGGACCCTGGTCCCTACTCCCTTGTGCTGGCATGAGTTCAGACTCCTTTCCTTAGGGCCAAGCTCCAAACTGCCCTGACAGTGGTGTGGTCTCTTCTCCCTGCTCTTGCCAGCAGGGAGCATAGGGCCTCAGGCTGTCAGCACTTCCTGGACTCTGGCATAACCTGCAGAAGAAGGCAGTGGCCCAGAGGGGGTGGGCCTGAGCCCCAAACACCTGCATCTTGACACCCTCAGGCTCTCGCCCTGATGCAAGAACTGGAAGGATCTTGTTAATGGTTCACCAAGCTAACCCAGGAATGCCTCATCTATAATCCACCCATAAGAGAAGAGGGCAAATCCTGGGGCCAAGACCCAGCCCACCCTCTCTGGTCTCCGTGGGAGGGGCTTCTCAGGGGTCAGAGGGTATGAGCACACTAAGCTGGGAACTCTTTCACGGCGCCCTGGAATCTTTTCTGGGACATTGTTTCTTGAGTTTCATTTGAAATTAACCTCACATAGTTACTGGACTACGAACTTTTTCAACCTGGTTTTGGCAGTGACTTGCTGTGTGACTCTGGGGAAATCGCTCTCTGTCTTTGTTTACCTTTGGCTAATAAGTGAGACCGGTGGGCTAATCCGTCCTTGGAGACCCAGCGGCCAGGGGAGGTAGGCAAGCGCTGCTGCCTGTGGGTGGTTAGAGGGAGAGCCCTTTCTTTCATCCACCCTTCTTTCTCTCTAACTCTGCCCCCTCCGGGACTTGGAGGCAGGGCTTGGGGACAACCTGGTACCTATGTAATTTACCTGCACATTATTGTTCTTCTCTGCAATTTCAGGGTCAGGCTGCGGCAGCCCGGCGCCTGACGAGTGAGAGGAACCTGCCAGGGGATTACTGCCAGCGCCAGCTAACGGCACGACTGCCAGCCTCAGGGGTATGGGGATGGGCAGAGCCACTTTTCAGCCCAACCCAGCAGCACCAGGCAGGAGGCCTGGGCCCTGGTGGGGAGCTTGCCACACGCTCGGCTGACCCAGATGGTGGGAAAAGCAGCGCCCGCTGAGTAGCAGCTGTGCGCAGAAACCCAAAGGAGCCTGCAGCAGGAGCTCTGTAGCCCTCTACCCCAACTGCCTTTGGGCCTTGACAGTCAAGTGAAGGGAGTGGCACCTCAGGTGGTAGCGAAGGGGAGAACTTGAAGAGGATCTTGATTTTGGCAACAGTTTTCTAACACCCACGGAGCTGCCAAGGTTTTTTCTCTCAGGGTTGGGGCCTGGTTCCCTTCCCCTGGCAGAGGGGTGGTACCAGGAGGACCAAACAATGTGGGGACTGCTCTTGCATGGAATCCAGGCAGCTTAAAGCCCTTGTGCTCTCTGTTGTGATTGGGGTTTGAGGTCTTCCCCCCCCCTGCAGGGACGAGGGGCTGCCTCAGCATCTGCTCATGAGCCACAAGGACCCCGACTGCATCAGACTGGACCTTTCCAAGCTGCCAAAGAGGGGGGCCTCCAAAGCTGGCAGCCAGCAACCCCAAGGGACTAGAAGGCTGAGATGGACTGACCTCCCCCTTGCCAGGGTGGCAGGAGAAGCAGAGCATCTGTGGCCCAGCTAATGACGGAGATTCCCGGTGGAGCCATAAGCAGGGACCCAAGTGACTCAGGGCCTGGGAGCCACTCCTGCCAAAGTGCTTTCTTCTCACGTTGAAGGAGGCCGTGGTGTGGAACCCCTACCGCTGGCCCCTCCACAGCACGTGCCCTTATGCCCTTTGCACGAGGAGCCAGAGCAGGCAGGCTACACCGTGGCTGGCCGGTCAGCCAGCTGGGAAAGGAGCGGCCACGGTGACACCCACCTGCCCAGCGGGCTGGTAGTCCAGCCCCCTGGCACATCGCACCATGAAGTGCTCCCTGCGGGTGTGGTTCCTCTCTGTGGCCTTCCTGCTGGTGTTCATCATGTCACTGCTCTTCACCTATTCCCACCACAGCATGGCCACCCTGCCCTACCTGGACTCGGGGGCCCTGGGCGGCACCCACCGGGTGAAGCTGGTGCCTGGCTATGCCGGCCTGCAGCGTCTCAGCAAGGAGGGGCTCGCTGGCAAGAGCTGTGCCTGCCGCCGCTGCATGGGTGACTCCGGCGCCTCTGACTGGTTTGACAGCCATTTCGACAGCAACATTTCCCCCGTCTGGACCCGAGAGAACATGGACCTGCCCCCAGATGTCCAGAGGTGGTGGATGGTGAGAGCCCCATCCCCTCCTGCCTCCCCTTTGCTGCCCCTGTCCAAGGGTCTATACCTCTTTTTGAACCCATGACAGCCTGGGGTCCTTGAAGGGGCATCCTGTTGCTCACCACCTTCATATTATGGAGAAAATCAAGGTTCTTAGAGGTCCCTCTTGGATTGGGGCTCTCTCCTGGTCCCCAGAGCCCTGACAGAGGGTGAGACCCATTTGATCAGAGCCATCTATTAGATCACAGCTTCTGAAGGGCAGAGTGAGCTTTGGCCTGGAAGCATAGAGAATTCATATTTTCTAGTGCCCATAGGTGCCAAACTGAGACCACAAATGCCTCCTGTGCCAGGCAACATAGATGAGAAAAGCGATCAGAGGGAGAGGGTAGCAAGAAGTGGGGACCACTGCTACCGGGAGAAGGCCTACCCTTCAACCAGGGGGCAGCCACGTTTGGCCCCAGGGTTTGCCGCACAGGGAAGCCATGTCACTACTGGATCTTCGGACCCTGTGGCCCAGATTTTTTGGCTGGATATTCTCATTTGTAAACATTGGCTCTTAGTAAATTTAAACACCAGGAGGGCCACTCACTAGGTTTTTACAATTGTCGGAAAAGATTTTCTTCTGAGCTCCAGTATGAAAGGCTTGTCTGCTCCTCTTGGGGCATAAGAGAGGTGAAGGAAAGGGGCAGGTGTCCTCTCGCCTCAGTCTTCTGAATCCCATTACCATTCTTCTGCTTTTAACTCACTTCACCTCACCCCTGTCATCTCTGGGGCCTCACTCCCCAGGCTCTGCCACGCCATCTGTTTGCCACATGTGTCAGGGGTGGAGCAGCATCAGTCCGTAACCCAGGGGCCTGCAGTCTGCCTGCATTCCCCACGGGGGGGGTCTCTGGAGGTAGCTTGTGCTCCCTGGTTTCCCCAACTGGCAGATGGGAAAGAGGATGACTCCCCCCTTTTCTCACATTCAGAGAAGCTGGAGGATAAGCTCATAGGAGCGGGCTTTCCACAACAAGGCACAGAGCTGGCCCCAACTGTCAGCGTCCCCAAGGATGGAGAGTTCTACAGAACAGGGGTCACCGGGAGCCCATAGTGACAGCCTAGGGTTCTGGGGCATGCTGTTGCTCATGGTCCCCACCCTCATTTTATGGAGAAAATCAAGGTTCAGATTGAGCACAGGGCTTGGCCATTGTCACAGCTCCCAGACGTGGCCACCCAGGGCCAGATTGGACCCCTGGGAAGGCAGACCCATCAACAGGACTCAGAACTCAGGCTTGTGTAGGCGCTAAACATGCTCCTCCTCCGAGATACAGCAGAGGCCTCTTCTCCCTGTCACCAACTTGACCCCCTGTTGCCATGAACTTAGAAATTCTCTTCCCATAGCTAATCTTCCTCTCCCTACTGCCTGTATTCTCATATCAGATGCCTTCCCTATGCTCAGAAAAGAGGTAAGAAGCAGGCCCACCCCTACCCCCTACACACATTCTGTTCCCCGAGCAGTTCCTGCTCAGCCACAAACCTTTAGTCTTAGGACTCAGACTGCAGAGCACTTTACAGGTCTGGCTTTGACCTTACTGACTGGTGGCCTTGTGCCAACGCCAACCCACTCAATATTTTCAGACATTTAAGAATCAGGATATTTCACATGAAATCCATATATTCAATTCTCTTGAAAATTGGAAATTTTGGTCTCTGTACTCACTATCTCACTGGCAACAAATGACCGAAGTTGCCCCTTACTGATAGGGCCTCCTCTTTGCTGAAGAACCCACCTGCCACACTTACTCCTGTGTGTTGCCTGCCTGATCCCACAGGGCTTTGGGTGCCGGTTCATTTGGTGATCTTTGCAGGTCACTGTTGGTGGCAGGTGCAAGGGATCAGTTTCATTTCAGCCATTCTGGCCATGAAAGCATTTCTGTGTTTGCCTTTCCCAGAGGGCTCTGGGAGTGGCTCTAGGAGTCCCCAGAATATTGTTTTAGATGTTGCTGGTGTGACTCTGAATGAGTCCCAGGGGTGCCCCCTGCAGGTTGGTTGGGAAGGAGGCCCTGCTATCTAGCAGGGCTTTCCAAGGTACCTGCACTCAAAGTGATGTCGTTATGTGATCCCGAGGTGGCCTGAGGGGATGGCAGCGGATCGCCTCTTCGTGCATGATGGATCTGGGAAGTCTCTGCTTTGTGGCCTAGGCGGGCAGGTCTCAGGAGAATGTGGGAAGAGCCCCTCTGACCCCTGCATCTCCCCCACTGCAGTAGAGCTGCTCCTGACTAGCAGGGCATGGAGTCTGTACAGAGACTAGCTGTGGTTGAGAGAGGGGAGGGTCCCTGCTGTCAGAGAGAATTCCAGCTCCCTGACAGCCAGATGAGGAGTCCTGTGTGTCCCTCGGACACTAGGGAATGGGCAGGGGAGGGGAGGGGGACAGGAACCCCTCCCTGCGCATTCCTTTCCCTTCCCCTCCCCCTACACCATCTTCTCCCTGCTCCTCCACAGATGCTGCAGCCCCAGTTCAAGTCACACAACACTAACGAAGTGCTGGAGAAGCTGTTCCAGATAGTACCGGGCGAGAACCCCTACCGTTTCCGTGATCCCCAGCAGTGCCGGCGCTGTGCAGTGGTGGGGAACTCAGGCAACCTTCGGGGTTCTGGCTACGGGCCGGATGTGGATGGGCACCACTTCATCATGAGGTGAGTCTGCTGGGAAACCCAGGGACGGGCCTCCAGGAAGGAGATGGACCTCCTTGGCTTATCTGGCAGCGGAGGACTTGCCGTGGGGGTGTGGGTCTCTGATACCCAGAATCTTCCATGAGACTCTCACCTTTGTGGGGTGGATGGTAAGGCAGTTTCCCACTCTTAATCCCTTTGAAAATAGCTGAAACTAGATTCCTGGCTGGTGTCTCATGAAAACTCCCACCAGAGGCCCCTCCCCCTGTGTGGTCTCAATAGTTGGGGCCATATTGAGGGTCCCAAACTAAACATCTTGCTTAATAGCCACGGTTGATTCCTTCTAGTGGACTCACAGATAACAAGTGTCCTGGGCAGAAAACGGAGCTGCCTGCTGCTTACACTGGGCTGCTGCCCCTTACCTTTGTCTCTCAAGGTTTAGAGAGTATGGGAGCTTGCTCACTCAGCAGACATCTGTGCCCAGCCAGCAGGACAGGAGAAGGTTTGGGAGGACAAAGACATGGAGCCAGGAGCCTGGGGGTTAACAGGGGCTAGACTTGTGACCTGAACATAGGTCTGAACCTTTGTGTTTCCTGACTTCCTTCCCAGACTTGGGGACAGGAAATACCATCCCATTCCTTGATGAAGGAAGTACCTTAAGAATATAGGTACTGAAAGTGCCCCAGTTTTCAGTAAGCATCTCTTAGGATGAAAGACCACGTTTCCCAGGAGGCAGAGGGAAGGGCTTTGTCTTAGAAACTGTTGCTGTCTCCATAGCAACACTAAGGCAACACTATGTCTGTGAGGCTTTCAACATTCCTTGCAATACCTTTCTCATGTTGAGAAATGGTGGGGGGTGGGAGAGGATACTAAGTCCCAATCAGGAATCCAGATCCCCCTGAAATTCTGTCTCTGATTGCTGGCACCCAGAATGTGAGGGAGATGAGCTGGAGAGGGGACCCTCTTCACGCAGAGACAGTGTCTGAGATTGGGGAATAAGGTATCCCTCACTCCTGTGCAGCCCTGGGACTCTTGGGAAGCCCAGGGAAAGGCTCTAGAGTGCCTAAAACCTCAGCTGTCCCTGCCAAGCCACCTGCATCTCGTGATGGTTGGGAATCTCCAGGGCAGAAGCACAGTGGTCAAAAAGGGCTGGCTGGGGCCTCCCCGGTGGCGCAGTGGTTGAGCGCTGGGTTGCGAAGCTGCCCGCAACCTCTGCGGCACCGGTTCGATCCCCGGCTGCTCCCCGTCCACCGGAGGAGGGTCCCACATGGCGTGCAGACCTCTCCTGCTGCCCGCTGCTCCCCTCAGCAGTGTACTTCGGTCCTTCTGCCTGCTCTGCTCCCCGCTCTGGCTCTGGTGAATTCTCTCACCCTCCCGCGCTTCTGACTGTACCCAGTGCATGTATAAACAAAACAAACAAACAAACCAGCAAACAAATAAATAAAGCATGCCTCTATTAAAAAAAAAAAAAAGGGCTGGCTGGGTGCCTCCCTGTTGGCATAGGGGTTAAGTTTCTGTGTTACCACTTCAAAGGCCCATCTCAATGGCTGGAGTTCGATCCCCAGCCAGGGTGCTGACCCACATGGCGCAGCAGACCTCTCCTGTCCTGTTGCTCCTCTTAGCAGTGTATTTCAGTAGATCCACCTGTTCTGCTCCCCACTCTCTCTGATGAGTCCTCTCACCCACCACACCTCTGGCCTGAACCCCAGTTCTTCCATACAAAAAAAAAGACTGGCTCCTATGGCACCTGGGTGGCACCTGGACAAGCCAAGCTGTAAAAGGACTTTACAGATGTTTCCTCATAGGAACCATGCTATAAGATATGGTGCTTTGGGGTGCAGATCCCAGAATCACTTTTTGGAAGGGGTGACATGTGTAACTGCTGATCCACATAAGGAGCCAGGCAGCAGCGGAGGTGACTCGGCTTATAGGCTTGTCTTGGTTTGGAACCAGCATGAGACCTCCTTTCCTGGAAGCAGGACCCACCTAAGACCCCATTAAGAGGACTGAGCTGAGTCACAGTAAGTTGGTAGCGCCACCCACTCACCCTAACCACAGCTGCATCCTCCTCCTCTGTGTTCTCTGAGGCCTGCTGTAGTTGAGTTGGTCCTGCCTCATCTTACCTGTATAATGAGGTGACTGCTAGGACGGTGTCTAGCAGGTTGCAAACTCATAAATATACAAGTGAATGGAACAGGTGAGGCAACTAGACACCAAGCCCTAGCATGAATGTACCCTCACCTGCCTGCGCCCCAGCCGCAGGTGCTCCGTTGGTGAGTGGAGGCAGCCGGGAACAGATAGAATTCTAGAGTGCTTTCCATCTGAATCACAAATATCCACCTCATCTTCTCCATCTTTTTCTAGGCCCTTTCCAGAGCTTGGCTTCTCTAGAATGAATCAGATCCTCAAAACAAAATCCTGATCCCCAAAGCATGCCATAGTCCTTCCCTTTGCCTTAGAGGCTATCGGACATCTTTTTGAACCTCTTACTCTTCCTGGACTTTGGAAAGCCCAGCATGCAGGAAGAACCTGACAGGTGGAAACTCTGCAGCAGGGCTGACCAAGGGTGGGTGATCCTGGCTTACAGGTCAAAGAGGGGAGTTTGTAAAGGTGCTGGTTGCTGAGTCAGTGGAAAAGGCAGATGGGGGGAGTGCTCAGAAACCAACCTGGGGCTGCTGCTGCCCTTTGATTTGTGAGACCAGCTTGGCCTCTCCACCTAGGGTGAGATGAGGTATAGGTGTTAGGTCCTCACAAGAGTGAACCTTTGAACCCAGCTTTTGGTGGGTCCAACTCCAGCCAACTTGAACACCAGCAACCAAGTCTCCTAGCTCCTGCTCTCATTTCCACACTTCAAGCAGCGGAGAAACACCATCCTTGTTAAGACTTCCCCTCAAACCTGCTCTGTTTCTCACAATTCTCTTCTGCCACACACACAGCAGGTGTTCAAAAGATACATATTAAAAAGAAAGAAGTGGGCCTTTCTGTGGTGCAGTGGGTTAAATCTCAGCACAGTGAAGCTATCAGCAGCCACTGCAGCATGAGTTCAATCCCCAGCCAGGGAGCAGCAGATCTCTTCTGTCTCATCCGTTGCACCCCTCAGCAGTTTATTTCAGTAGATCCATCTGTTCTGCTCTCCACTCTGTCTCTGATGAAGCCTCACACACACACACAGACACACACACACAACAACCATTTTTATGTGAACCATTTCTAGAAATGGAATTGCTGGGTCTAAGTGAATTGCTGGTTGGCACCAAACAGTCCTCTAAAATTCTTCTACCAGTTGCTGTGGCAGTTTCTTCTCATGTCGCTTCTTGTCCCTGCAGGATGAATCAGGCACCAACTGTGGGCTTTGAGCAAGATGTGGGCAGCCGAACCACCCACCATTTCATGTACCCTGAGAGTGCCAAGAACCTGCCCGCCAATGTCAGTTTCGTGTTGGTGCCCTTCAAGGCCCTGGACCTACTGTGGATTGCCAGTGCCCTGTCCACAGGGCAGATCCGATTGTGAGCACTGCCCACAGGGAGTGGAATATGGGTGGCAGAACCACGTTGGGTGGAGTCCTCCTGGGGACTGGATTATAGAATTCTATGAGCTGGATGTTTTGGCCAAGAGGGGTTGGTGAGGAGGAAGCAGTGGAAGGAAAGGCCCCCCACAGTGTCATAGCTGAGGCCATATAGCCTGTTTTCTGTTTCACTTCCTGCATGGGGACAACAAGTATATCAGTAGCAGAAAAGTAAGGAAAGGACAGAGTAATCTTGTCTTTTTCCCTGGAGGTGACTCTCAGAAGAGCTCTGCTTTCTGAGAACTTTCTTTGGGAGTAGTTGCCCAATCACAGCTGAGGCCCACAGGATTTTTTTTTTTTTTAAAGATTTATTTATTTATTCATACAAGCACTGGGTACAGTCAGAAGCACGGGAGGGTGAGAGAATTCACCAGAGCCAGAGCGGGGAACAGAACAGGCAGACTGACGAAGTACACTGCTGAGGGGAGCAGCGGGCGAGACAGGAGAGGTCTGTCGTGCCATGTGGGACCCTCGTCGGCGGCCAGGGATCGAACTGGCGCTGCAGAGGCTGCGGGCAGCTTCGCAGCCCAGTGCTTAACCGCTGCACCACCAGGGAAGGTCCAGGATTTTTTTTTAAGGTTATTATTATTTGCATAGAAGATCTGGGGTATAGGCCAGAGGTGGGGGGAGGGGTGAGAGGATTCACCAGAGATAGAGTGGGGACCAGAACTGGTAGATTTACTGAAATACACTGCTGAGGAGAGCAGTAAGCAAGACAGGAGAGGTCTGCTGTGCCATATGTGGGTTGGCACCCTGTCTGGAGGATTGAACTCAGGCCATAGCAGTGATAGTGCTGAGACTTAACCCTGAAGCCCCTAGGCCTCCACAGGAAATTTTTTAGCAGCTTTATTGAGATAAAATTCACATATACCATGTAATTCACACATTTAAAACGTGCAATTCTGCGACTTTCAGTATATCCAGAAATGTATGACCATCACCACAATTAATTTTAGAATACTTTCATGTTCTAAACTTGAAGTTCTATTTTCTAAAGAGAATGATCTAATGATATCCCTGTATCCTCAGCCTTCACCTCCACTCCCCCCACCCCACCCCCTAGCCATAGGAATCACTAATCAGCTCTCTCACCATGTGGGATGTATGTGTGTGTGTGTGTGTGTGTGTGTGTGTGTATGAGAGAGAGAGAGAGGAAAGAGAGAGAGAAAATGTATAACACAAAGTTACCATTTTAACTGCATAGTTCAGAGTCATTAAGTGCTTTCACATCCTTGTGTAAATATCACCACTAACTGGCTCCTAAACTTTTCATCATCTCAGATAGAAACTTAGTACCATGAAATAATAGCTCCCCATTCTCCACTCCCTCTAGTCCCTGATAACCACTGTTCTTTGTCTCTCTGACTTGACATTATTCTAGCTTCTTTCACTTAAAATATCTTCAAGTTTCATTAATGTTGTAGCATGTATCAGAATGTCATTCTTTTAAAGGCTGAGTAGTATTCCATTCTATGGCTGTACCACATTTTGTGTATCCATTCCTCATCTATCAGTGGATATTTGGGTTGTTTTCACCTTTTGCCTGTTGTCACCATGTATTATTAAACACAAGTGTGATTTCCTGACTCTATCTTCTCCTTGGGAAACATTAAGTCTAAAATAAGTGCTGTAGAGTTTGTTTCATAAATACTCAGAAAAAGTAGTATACATTATTGGCACCATGGTTGACTAATAAGGAAGGAGGATTTGTGCCAAATGTGAGAATAGTCAGAGGATCATAAGAGCGCATGCATGGTGGATTTGAGATGATCGGTTAACTCAAAAGTTCACAGCACAGAGTTGAGGAAGAAAAGTTGGGGCTGGATCTCCCTGGTGGCGCAGGTGTTAAAGTCTCAGAGCTATCAAGCTATCACCAGCCACTGCAGCATGAGTTCGATCCCCTGCCAGGGAGCTAACCCACATGGCACAGCAGACCTCTCCTGTTTCACCCATTGCTCCCCTCAGGAGTGTATTTCAGTTGATGTGCCTGTTCTGCTCCCCACTCTGTCTCTGGTGAATCCTCTCACCCCCTGCACCTCTGGCCTATACCCCAGCTCTTGTATGCATAAATAAAAATAAATCTGGGGAAAAAAAATAAAATTGGAGCTTGATAATGGAATGTCCTGATACTTGTTTTATCCTGAAGTACCTAGGGAGCCATTGAAGATTTCTGAGTGAGGTACTGAATTGATGTCTATGACTGTAAAGCCTGGAAGAAGGGGGCCCTGTTGTGAGGCTGTCATTGCTCAACCTGAAAAGAAGGAACCACCCTCTAATATATTTTTTTTCTGCTTGCAGCACCTATGCCCCAGTGAAGTCCTTCCTTCGAGTGGACAAAGAAAAAGTAAGTAAGTACCCCCCTCCTCCCCTTCTTCAGGTCCCCCAAGTTCCTCATGAATCTGTTCTATTTTCTCTTCCCAGGTCCAGATCTACAACCCAGCCTTCTTCAAGTACATCCATGACAGGTGGACAGAGCATCACGGACGGTACCCTTCCACAGGGATGCTGGTGCTCTTCTTTGCCCTGCATGTGTGTGATGAGGTGGGTGGTCCTATCTGAGGCTTAAAGAGTGGGACTTATGCAACAGCAGACAAGCAGCCTTTCTCTGGGCTTAGCAGTGCTCCAGAGCCATGTGGTTTTGTAAGCATAATCAAATGGCTTGAGTTCCATTCTAGGCTGTGAAGTATAGATCTGCATTTCCCAAACCCACTCTGAAATCACTTCATTGAAAAGTTAAATTTATTTTTAAATGGAAACAAAATACTACTACCCTAATTGTGATATTACTTGCCATAAAGAAAAAGTAACCATAAACCAATAGAATGGAAACAATGTAAAGTATATTAGCAGGATGGTTTATGCCAGGCCTCAGGGCTTACTATTCCTGTTTTAAAGTTTTAAAACTGGAGCTTAGTCATTCTAGGAGCAGATATCTGAGCAAGTAGAGCTACTGTGCCTTGTATACCAGTGCTCATGCCCAGCACCCCCACCTTTTTTTTTTTTTTTTAAGATTTATTTATTTATGCACACAAGAACCAGGGTACCTGCCAGAGATGTGTGGAGGGAGATGATTCACCGGAGACAGAGTGGGGAACAGAACAGGCAGATGGACTGAAATACACTAATGAGGGGAACAGTGGGGGTGACAGGAGAGGTCTGCGGCGCCATGTGGGTAGCTCCCTGGCCAGCTGGGAATTGCACTTGTGCTGCAGTGGCCAGTGACAACTTGATAGCTCTGTCTTTAACCCCTGCGCCACTAGGGAGGCCCCAGCACACATACTTTTGCCAGTAAGTTATTCAGGGCATAGTGTTGGATATTAGGCCAGCTTTCAAATATCAGTAGTCCATTTCTTCCTCCCCTCCTGCCACCCCCCCCAAGCCCCCCAAAAAGTTAGCAAGGGTTGTCAGCTGTCACATACTATCCCAAACTGGGACATTTATGACGAAATCAGGTGGAAGTGGGGCTCAAAGCGCCAGGCCTGGGTGTCTGTCCTCTGCCTTCCCGGGTGCCACCCCGCTGTGGGAATTGAGGGGCTGCCGGCTTCCCAGGCTGTCTGCGGGCGCTGCGGCCCCTTCTCCCCCGCCACGGCCCAAGGCTGTCCCCTGCCTGTCTCCAAGGCCCTCCGGTCCTCGCTCGGGAGTGACCTGCGCCGTCCTTCCCTGCAGGTGAACGTGTACGGGTTCGGGGCCGACAGCCGCGGCAACTGGCACCACTACTGGGAGAATAACCGGTACGCGGGCGAGTTCCGGAAGACGGGCGTGCACGACGCCGACTTCGAGGCCCACATCATCGACATGCTGGCCCAGGCCAGCAAGATCGAGGTCTACCGAGGCAACTGAACCTGACCCCTCGCGACCCTTCCGGCCCGGCCTCGAGGCGCGCTCGGGCCAGGACCCCGGGCCAGCCCGGGGCCCCGCGGTGGGAAGGCTGCGGTCTGGGCCAATCATGCTGCAGCCCAGCGGGCCTTCCGGCCCCCGCCAGTGACGAAACTTTCGGGGCCCGTCCGCTGAGGCACCAATCAGCGCCGCAGTTGGGCGGGGCCTCTTTTTCCCAACCAATCATGAGACTCAAGGAGAACTTCCGGCGCGGGGCTCCGTCTCCTCCAATCGCTGGCCTTCGGAGGCGGGGCCGCGGCCGCTCTAGCCCTTCTTCTCTATGCTTTGGGGTAGGATTTTATTTCTCGTTCTTTCAAGGATGAGCGGTGGGTTCCGGCCTGGACGCAGCACTCTCCTCAGGAGAGCGTGGGTCGGTTGCCGGGCTGACCCCTCCGGGGCGCCAGCGCTTCAGCTTCGTTCCTAGGCCGCCTCGGTGTGGGCGGAGGGGCGATCGCCAGCCTCTTTGGGGATCAGGGGTGCGGGTGGGGTGGGGGGTTCCCGGGAGCGCGCTTTCACTCCCAGGGAAAAGCCGGGTCCCAGAGAGAATCAGGCCCCACATTTCCTTCATCGGTCAGACTCAGTTGGGTGAGTGTAAACCCACCAAAGAAATGCAGTGAGAATCCAGAGGGTGCGTGGGTCCCCTCCTTCCCCTCCCCGCCTTCGGCCACCCTATGGAATGGCCTTTCTCACCAGGGCATTTAGTCTCACCAGGAAGCTAGAATTGTATTCACCCCCTGCTTGGGGGCGGATTCTCCTAGGGCCTAACTCTTGAAAAATAGGTGTAAGGAGCAGGGCAGGGGACAAGGAATCCCCCTCACATCAGATGTGTAAGGTGCTTCTCACTCAAGTGTGCCCTAGCCCCAACTGTTCACCACAACCTTTCACTGACTCCTTGGCCCAGGGCCTCCTCACCAGCCTGCTGTTGCTCTGGGAGAAAAAAAAAAATCTAAACTTGCCCTGGGATTTGGGGCACTGCTGCTTTTCTCTCTCTCTCCCTCTCTCTCTCTCTCTTTCTCTCTCTCCCTCTGTCTCTCTCTCTCTCTCACACACACACACACCCACCCCTACCCCTTTGGCTGGCTCTAGGGAGAGGGAGCAACATGTAGGAAACAAAGCTGGAGAAGAGGAGTCTGGCTACCTGGTGCATGCACCTTCTTCCTTCACCCATGACCCCAAAGAGGAGTAGGAAACCTCTTGCTTGGGGGTGGAATTTGCTTTGGGCTCATAATTTAGTTAACCTGAAGTTACCAGGTATGGCTGATCAACAAAGATTCTTTAAAACTCCAAGCTGGCCATGCAAGTAATGGGGAGCCTAGCTGGGGAGGAGTAGACTTGCCCCCCTGCATGCCTCCTCCCCTGCCCATTTGTGTCTCCTTCCCCATGCTCCCCTCCTGCCTTCCTCTCACCCACATCTGTTCCAGCTCTCGAAAGGCTGGGAAACTAATAACCAGGGGTTACAACTAACTGGAAGCCACCTGTGTGACTGAGCCCAGCCTGAGTCCCTAGAGGAAGCTGCTGGTGGGATTCTCATCCTTCAAGGTTGGGGAAGTTTAGGAGGGCAAATGGGCTTCTGTGAAGCTTCCAAATCTCTGAAAGGACTCCCCTTGATGAACAAAAATACTCCTCTTTTTTCTTAGTGAGTTAACACCACCAGGCAGTCTCCTGGCCTTTGGTATCGTTCCTGCAGCAGGCTGGGGGAACAGTAACCAGCAGCTAGTATGTTAGAAAGGGTTGGGGAGGGGCAGTGGGCACCCCTAAAATTAATATATTGAGAACTTAGCTTGAGTCTGTTCCTTCCCAATTCCGGAAGCAGGAATAAAGAATGGGAGTGGGTAGGATGCCATCTCTTGGGCCTCCCCCCACCATTTTAGAGTCAAGGCACCAGCCGTTCTTGCCAGTCTCATCTCAGTGCTTCCTAAAGAGACTGTTTTGAGTGTTAGGAGGATGAAAAAAACGATGCAATTATGCCAAACAGTATTGAGCGGAATAATTTATTTCTTTTGTCTTCTTTTTGTTTGGTTTGCTTTAAACCATTAATAAATTCCCATTCTGGAAGAGGTAGGTCCTAGCATCCAGCCCAGATCTCCTTTTCTGCAAGTTATTGAAATGAAACATTTTTTAATTTTCTTCCCTTTCTCTTTCTGAATTAAAAAGAACAGCAAAAACAAAAACAAGATCACATAGTCATTTGTTCTGAAATGGGTACTGTGGTGGGAAGAAGGTGGATCTGACAGGGTGCTGTGATTGAGTAATGGCTAAGAATGTTGGGTCGGTGGAGAGGGGTGGGAATGACTCACGGACACTCTCCCCTTATGTGTCAGGAGCTTAGGTCCGTGGACACTGTTCCCTGAAGTCCCCAAGACGTAGATCTGAGGGACTGCAGGTCTTTTTGTCAAACAACTCAGTGTCTTTTCATTTTTCTCCAAAAGAGGAATGAATTGGAAAGAATTGCTGACAGCAGCTTCCCAGGCGGCTGTGTATAGCGGACAGAAGTGGTGGTGAGCGACCTGCAGTTTCCCCATTATCTTTTCTGAACAGCTAAGGAAAAGATGGAGGTGGGGAGGAAGCAGGCAACGCTGTTAGACTCCTTTCCCTGAACCCTGAAGGGGTCCCAGCTTTAGTGATGTAAACAGGCCGGGAGTGCCTCCTCCTGCCCCTTGGATGGTGCCGCTTATGGACAAAGGGTTCCTTCAGAGGTTCCTAGATGGGAACAGAAAGACAAGGGGTGTGAGGGCTGGGGAAGGCATATACATGCTCATTCCCTGCGACCAGGCCGCCTTGCCCAGGCCTCCAAGTGGCATTAGGGGCTATCCTGACTCCAGACAAGACCCAGAGCTTGTTGGATTGGGAAACAAGGAAAGAGGCAATGCACCCTCGAGATAGTTGCTAGGATTACCTGGTGCTTCCCTGTGCTCAGTGAACTCAGGAGGCTCTATTTGCAGACACTCTACTCAGTTAAGATTTTATTTATTTTTGCATAGAAGAACTGGGGTGTAGGCCAGAGGTGGGGGGTGAGAGGATTCACCAGAGACAATGGGGAGCAGAACAGGCACATCTACTGAAATACATTGCTAAGGAGACCAGCAGGCAAGATAGGAGATGTCTGCTGCGCCATGTGGATGAGCTCCCTGGCTGGGGATTGAATTCAGGCTGTCATGATGGACTATCACAGTGGTAGCACTGAGCCTTAACCCCTAGGTTACCAGGGAGGCCTCTTTACTCTAATACTGAAGCCGTCTTGGAGACCCTTTACACCATTAGCCCTATATGTGGGCTCCTCATCCTTAACAACACTTGTGAGCAAACCTCTTCTGTCCCTGGCTCAAGACCCTCAGCCCCAACCATCAGCTATGTCCTCAGCAGGACGGCCCTTCACCATCTTTCAGGGTCCCTGGACCAGCAGCTGAAACTATCCACTGCCAGGAACCAGCACAGCTTTCAGATCCAGCAGGCCCCAGAATGGGTTTTTCCTCCTCTGTTTCCAGGTACTATGGAAATTCCCTAGAATGCCATAGTTGTGGGTTGGCAAGAAATCAGCAGAATGATAAGAGCCAGTGCCACAGGCATTTGGGGCATCTTACTTGCCTGTGTCCTGTCTTTGTGCCTTCTGGATGCGCCTGAACCTACTGGACTCCTGCTGTGAAAAGCTGATTTTATAGTTGGGGACTAGACAGTTGTAGATCCCACCACAGATAACTCACTGAGTGTCCCAAGATTTAGTCTATGCCTATGCCCAGGAACTGCTTTTCAAATAGAGAATACTATTTGGTAGAAGAGAGCATTGGTCTTTTTCTAAAGCCTTGGACTCTGGGCTCTAATTCTCTAACTCAGAGTTGTCAGTGACGCCACACTATGTCTCTGCCACAGACTCTACACCCGAGTCATAAGGCCGGTGGCAGGAGTGCAGGCACAGCCTGGACTGCTCATGACCATTCTGCTCAGAGCCCCCACCCAAAGATGGCTGCCTTGGGGGTCACCTTCTTTGGTTGAAGCACACTCCCAAATGTTATACCCACTGCCTTCAGAATCACAAGTCCCACCGAATCTTGTATCTTGTTTTTCATGTTGGCCAAAGACTGTTGCTTTGACCCAGCAAAGATGCCAGCCACATCTACAATCCACAGGTTGGCATTACCTCCTGGTTGCATTTGCAGAAACTACTGTCACGCTGCATGACTCAGTGGTGAGTAAATGGAACCAGAAAAAAGTCACACATACACCCACCCCCACCCCACCACCCCCTCACCCTGAATAACCATATTTGTTGTCATCATCTGTCTCTCCAAATCTTGGAATATGGTGTAGGCCCTTGACTTACTGTGTAGGAGAAGGTAGGTCCTGGGACTTCTCATCACAATAACCCTCACTTCATGGGGCAGGTTGCCAATGTGGGGATTTTGCCAGGGAGTAGATATCTCTCTTCTTTTCTGAGACTGAGGAAATTAGCTTAAAGTGGTCTCACCAGACCTGCCAATAAATGGACCAGAATGCTCAATCTACCATTTGCCATAATAAGCTCCGACTTTAACTAGTGGATCCCGTTCATTCAGGTCTCAGAGCCAGTCTTCGATAAGTCCTGAAGACTGTGTATTTCCCTCCCCGCTGTGCACTATCACTCTGGGAAACAGATCCTTCTACAAAGACTCATGCTACAGGTCAAAGTCCTCACAGTGTTCTGGGGTCCCCTTAAAAAAGGGACTCCTGGAATGTGATCTGAATTAGGTCTAGCAACAGGGTAAGAAGCTGTGACTCTCCACCACAGTCAGCCTGTGATTCCAGCTGCTTCTCAGCACTCCTAGAATTTTCCCTCCCCCTTACATCAAGCAGTACCAATAAGAGGCTGCCCAGAATCAATTTCATCTCTCGGGACCTCAATGGTCAATTAACCATTGTCCCAAGTCTTGTAGCTCAGACCTCTAATTACCTATACCAGCACTGGTTATGAGACCTGTGTCTCCCTTACCTTGAACAGTTAGGCCTGTCTTTCTTGCCTTCATCAGGCCAGGATTCCAATATTCTCTGACTATAGATGACAGCCATATTTCTGTTACAGAATATAATGCATCTTTAGAAAAGAATATAACAATTAATGGACAAAATGTATAGGTTAAGGAATTATTTATTTATTTTTGCATAGAAGAACTGGGGTATAGACCAGAGGTGCAGGGGTTGAGAGGATTCACCAGAGACAGAGTGGGGAGCAGATCAAGCGGATCTACTGAAAAATACACTGCTGAGGGGAGCAGCGGTCGAGACAGGAGAGGTCTGGGCCATATGTGGGTTAGCTCCCTGGCCAGGGGTTGAGCTCAGGCCATAGTGGTGATAGCAAGGAGACAACCCCTAGGCCGCAAGGAGGCCAATTTTTATTTTTAAAGATTGATTTATTTATGCATATAAGAACTGGGGTATATGGGGCCTCCCCGGTGGCGCAGCGGTTGAGCGCTGGGTTGCGAAGCTGCCCGCGGCCTCTGCGGCGCCAGTTCGATCCCCGGCTGCTTCCCGGCCACCTGCGGAGGATCCCACATGGCGCGCAGACCTCTCCTGCCGCCTGCTGCTCCCCTCAGCAGTGTACTTCGGTCCTTCTGCCTGCTCTGCTCCCCGCTCTGGCTCTGGTGAATTCTCTCACCCTCCCGCGCTTCTGACTGTACCCAGTGCATGTATAAACAAAACAAACAAACAAAATAAATAAATAAATAAAACATGCCTCTATATAAAAAAAAAAAAAAAAAAAGAACTGGGGTATAGGCCAGAGTTGTCGGAAGTGAGAGGATTCACCAGAGAGAGAATGGGGAACAGAACAGGCAGATTGACTGAAACACACTGCTAAGGGGAGCAGTAGGTGAGACAGGAGAGGTCTGCTGCGCCATGTGGGTTGCTCCCTGGCCAGGGATCGAACTCATGCTGCAGTGGCTGTTGATAGCTTCATAGTTCTGCATCTTAACCCCTCACGCCACCAGGGAGGCCCCAATTTTTATTTTTAAATAAAACTTGCTTGACAAAGCAAAGGTAAGAATGAATATATCTATATATATGTGTGTGTGTGTGTGTATATAAAACCTGGCACTCAGGTAAAACAAGGGACAATTTCCACTGCCATTTTGCCCCCAAAATCAATAACAGCTTTTATTGCTTCTTAGAGATAATGACATCAGTCTGAGGAAGCATCCAGAATCTTGCTGTTTCTGTGGCTTAGATCTTATTCATTAGCCTGCTCAATTGATCCTTCTTCAGAAGCAGATATACCATCCCCAAATCTTCTGATCTCCTTGTTTTTAACTGCTGTAGCTTGCTAATTAAAGCAGCACTTGAATTTGAAACAAGCTCAAGGTCATTTACTTAAAGGATTAGCTCATCTTTCTGGGACTAAGATATTGAACGTTAAACCTACCTTCATCCAAAACCTGCAGATTTTTGGCTCAAGAAATTTTAGGGGAAGTGAGTGAACATAGCCCTCACCTTGTAACAGAGACCAGTGTGACCCCCTTCATCTGGTACGTGACTATATGTGATTACAGATAGTGCAGGCGCAGCCAGTTGCTTTCTATTTCTTCGTCATTAGTCCATCCACAACATTTTTTTCTTTCCAAGGAGACTTAATTCACCTTCGATGTGATTTAAGTCCTGTGTGGACCTTCACAGTAACTCTGCTTCCCTTCAGAGAGATGTCAGCATTTTTTGAAATGTCCACAATCTGATTGCTGAGAATGGTCCTCACTCTCACCTAAGACTTGGCCCCACAGCGCCACTGCTGTTTCACTTCCAAAATGGACTGAGGAAAAGGGGAAAAGCAGCTCTCCTGCCCGCCTATGACTATGCAGGTGTTTCTTTTCTTCACAAATCCTCTCTCTTTGCAAAGTAGGAGTGGCCGCTCTCAGCCCACTTGTGTCTATGCAGGTGCCTTTTTTTTTTTTCTTCTTCCTTTCCCTACTAAACCTGTCCTTTTAAAATGTGAAAAGAAAAGGAGAGAAGAGGTGGTTAAACATGTCATGTGAAAGAATTAGAAAAATGTTTAATTTCCAGATTCACTTGGACACTCTGTTATGTGTCTTTGCTTAGACCCAAATCCAGATGGAAGTTTGTTTTATAATAAAAATGACCTCTCAGATCACTTAGGAAAGGGTGGATCTTTCCATTTTACTAGGGTAACAAGATAACCACTTACAAAAAGATCAAATTAGATCCATACCTTAAACCATTCACCAAAATGAATCAGAACTAAATGCAAAAAATAAAACCCTAAAAGTGACAGCTCTTTGATAGATTCAAACAGATTATATACCTATTTCAACTTTGTAGCTGGTTTTTTTTTTATTTTTTAAAGATTTATTTATTTTTATACAAGAATTGGGGTACAGGCCAGAGATGCAGGGGGGTGGGGGCGGTGGTGAGAGGATTAACCAGAGACAGAGTGGGGAATAGAACAGGCAGACTGACCGCAGTACACTGCTGAGGGGAGCAGCGGGCGAGACAGGAGAGATCTGTCCCACCATGTGGGTTTCTCCCTGGCCGGCCGGGAATTGAAATTGTGCTGCAGTGGCTGCAGATTTCTTCATAGGTTGCGTCTTAACCCCTGCACCACCAGGGAGGCCCTGTAGCTGGTTTTTAGATTGGGATTTTTTTTTTCATGTTGTGTAGTTCACTGTATTGCTTAAAAGTAGGTGTTTTTCCATTCTTATGAGTATGCGCCAACATTTTGTTGAACTCTCTTCCAATGTAATTGCTCCCATTTTATGTGTCCATGTGACTGATGTCTTTTTTATTCCTTCCCTATTACTAGTGAGGTCATGGGAAGGAAAACTCAGTTAGAACGATGCTCATCATCTACTTAGCAGATTCTTTTCCCTTGGTCTCGTTCCTCTCCAGATTTGTGTGATTGCTTATTTAACACCTCTGTCATGATGAAGGCTTTTTAAATGTCTGGCAATTGAGGATTGTCTTCTTTTCTGAAATAGTGAATCACGAAGCTGCTTAGGCAGTCTGTATGTGGGTGAGGCTTACCTACTCTGCAGGCTGGCATTAGGTTGGCTGGACAGGGAACCAGCTATTCCATTTGGAGGGAGGGAGTACAGATAACTTAGTTTTTGTTTCCTCTTAACACCCCTCAGGCTCCCAGCAGCTTAAAACAAAGTTTATTTCAAGCTACATTTTCATCATGGGCCTCTGCTCATCATGGTCACTCAAAGCCCTACATGGAAAGTGGTGCCATCTGGTAGGTCTGTGATCTCAGGGCCAGGGAGAAGAGAATGTGGTGAACTGTGCATTGCACCTAAACTGTCAAATTCATATTTCCTTGATGTCAAAGAAGTCCTATGGCCATGCTCAGCCTAACAGCCCTCATAATCTTCCTCTGGAAGAGGAGCAGTATGGAGTGAGTAGTAACACTCTACAACATAGAAGTCTCTTTGGAGAGAAATGCTGGCATTTAGAGGAGCATCGGGCAGGGCTATGTGGATGCACACCTGGTTGGTAGGTTGGCCGGATGCCAGGGAAGGGAAGGAGGCCACTGAGTATTACACTCATCACAGGAACAGCAGTGAGCTGGCAGTCACCAGGATCCGCTTTCTGTACAGGATTGGCTACCTAAGAAAACATCTATCCTTGCTAGGTGAGAGGTAAGTAAAATCCATAAAGCTAGACTTTTAAAATTCAAGTTCTTTTTTTTTTTTTAAGTGTGAATTAGCAATGAATTCTCCTTCTCACAACCCTTCCAGAAAAATCACAGCTTGTGCAGTGAAAAAGCCAGGGTGACAACCAACTTACAGAAATGCCAGAAGATGCCCCCCTCACCCCACACTTGCTGAACCCTGGGTGTCAGGACCAGTCTGTTCCTCTGATAATATAGAATTAACACCTTTCCTCTAACAACTGTTTCTGTTCCTAAGAACACAGGCTCTTCCTGGCAGCCTGGCTTCTCTCCAGGGAGAAGGCCTGCTGAAGCGGGAAGAACAGATGGGGACTGCTTCTGAATGGATCTGAGTTCAGTCCTTTTGCTATAACTGTGTCTTTTTTTTCCTTGTTTTTAGAATAAGAAAGTAATGCCCACTGATCACAAAAATCATTCAAATAATTTATATCTATATAAAGACATGGCAGGCCTTCCTGCAATATTTATTTTCTATTTATAATTTGTCATAACATGGGTTAAGGGAACCCTAGAAGAAAAGAGCACTCTCCCTTTCAGACCCATGTTGTGGTCTCTCCACAGCTCTTCCTATAAAACCCTGTCTCCATGAAACATCATACTAGAACCCCATCATACTTAGCAACCCAGCTTCGCAACCCAGCGTTCAATCACTGTGCCACCGGGGAGGCCCTTAGTTTTCTTTTTTTTTTTTAAAGATTTATTTTTATTTATTTATACAAGCACTGGGTACAGTCAGAAGTGCGGGAGGGTGAGAGAATTCACCAGAGCCAGAGCGGAGAGCAGAGCAGGCAGAAGGACCGAAGCACACTGCTGAGGGGAGCATGGGGTGGCAGGAGAGGTCTGCGCGCCATGCGGGACCCTCCTCCAGTGGCCGGGGAGCAGCCGGGGATCGAGCCGGCGCTGCAGAGGCTGCGGGCAGCTTCGCAACCCAGCGCTCAACCACTGCGCCACCGGGGAAGCCCCCTTAGTTTTCTTTATTGCTATAAATAACTAACCTTTAAAATGTGAGCCTGGGCCTCCCCTGGTGGCGCAGGCGATGGAGCGCAGTGCTGTGAAGCTCTGCAGCCTCTGCAGCGCCAGTTCAATCCCGGCCGGCCAGTGAGGGTCCCACATGGTGCCGCAGACCTCTCCTGTCTCGCCCACTGCTCCCCTCAGCAGTGTATTTCATCAGTCTGCCTGTTCTGTTCCCCACTCTGTCTCCGGTGAATCCTCTCAACCTCCCGTGCATCTGGCCTGTACCCCGATCTTGTATAAATAAAAAAACTTTAAAAAAAAAAAAAAGTAAAATGTGAGCATGCTTAATTTTATTTATCCAAGTCATCTTAAGTGATTGAGGTTAGTATCACTAGTTTATGTGCTTGGGTGAGTTAATTCATAAATGGGAAATCTCATGCAGAATTCAAAATCATTTATGTAGCTATTCTTCCCTCAAGGAGAGGGGTATAGTTCCCCACTCATGTGAGCTGCACATGCTAACTTCCACCCAAGTGTAATGTATTGAGAGTGGGGGAAAGAGCCAGCCAGCTCATCAAGATCAACATCCCTGCTCTTGATGATGCTGAGAACTCATGTTCTTTTTTTTCTAGAATTTATTTTTATTTATTTATGCATACAAGAACAGGGGTATAGGCCAGAGGCAGAGGAGGTGAGGATTCACCAGAGACAGAGCGGGGAGCAGAACAGGCAGACTGACTGAAACACACTGCTGTGGAGAGCAGCGGGCGAGGCAGGAGAGGTCTGTTGTGCCATGTGAGTCAGCTCCCTGGCTGGGGATCAAACTCAGGCACTCATGGTGGTAGCGCTATGACTTAACCCCTAGGCCACCAGAGAGGCTCTGAAACATATTTAGCCTTCATCTGGCCATTCCTTAAAATTAGTTTTATCTGGGGTGAATTTGTGTTGGTATTGTTTGCAGTCCTTAGCATTTGATTTCTTCTGTCCCCACCTCCCACCTCTGCCTTAAGAGCACCCACTGCACATTGTGTCCTTCCTTTCTAGAACCTTGCTCCTCAAACTTTCTTCTCAGAATCCCTACCCTACCCTCCAGCAATGCCTTGCAGCTGCTCCTCTCACTCTCTATGGTAGCTGATATCTTCCAGGCTTCCACTCAAATCTGCCCCAAACTGGACCCTCTGTATTCCCACCCACAACTCTGCCATCACTCACGCTCCAAGGTATCCGTGTTGCTCACAGCACATGAGCAGGGCCAAGTATGACACAGTCAAACCTATGGGAATTTAGAAACTTACTTCCCAGGTATCATGACTATGAAAATAATAGTAAATAATTTGTAACACTAGGAGGAAGAAAGTTTTTTAGCTATGACATGACATCCAGCTCTCTTAAAATGAAATCTGAGTAATATTAAAATTAAACTGTTGGGCCTCACTGGTGGTGCAGCAGTTGAGCACTGGGTTGCGAAGCTGCCCGCAGCCTCTGCAGCGCCGGTTTGATCCCCGGCCGCTGAGTGAGGGTCCCATTTGGCACGCAGACCTCTCCTGCTGCCCGCTGCTCCCCTCAGCAGTGTACATTGTCACTCTGCCTGCTCTACTCTCCGCTCTGGCTCTGGTGAATTCTCTCACCCTCCCATGCTTCTGACTGTACCCAGTGCTTGTATAAATAAATAAATAAATAAATAAATCTTAAAAATAAATAAATAAATCTTTTAAAAAAAATTAAACTGTTGTGTGTAGCATTAAAAAAGAATGAGTTTCGGGCCTCCCAGGTGGCGCAGCGGTAGAGCGCTGGGTTGCGAAGCTGCCCGCGGCCTCTGCAGCGCCGGTTCAATCCCCGGCTGCTCCCCGGCCACCGGAGGAGGGTCCCACATGGCGCGCAGACCTCTCCTGCCGCCCGCTGCTCCCCTCAGCAGTGTACTTCGGTCCTTCTGCCTGCTCTGCTCCCCGCTCTGGCTCTGGTGAATTCTCTCACCCTCCCGCGCTTCTGACTGTACCCAGTGCATGTATAAACAAAACAAACAAGCAAACAAATAAATAAAGAAAAACATGCCTCTATTAAAAAAAAAAAAAAAAAAAGAATGAGTTTCTACAAACTTGGAAAATATCCATCACTCGAGACAAATTTATAATTTCCCTAAAATAGAACGATGACTAAAAATCATTAAGAATTGACAATCTAATATTAAAATGGGCAGGACCCCAAAAGAGAAAATCCAAAACCCAATAAACTGAAAACCAGCGAAACCCCATTAAATACAAAACACCAGTATTTTTTACTACTCAAAAGTGACAAAGGTTTAAACATGGATAACATGTAGAGTTGGCAAGCAGGTAAGACAGTAGCTATTTCGTATCTCTACAATGTTAATGTACACTGGTAAAGCTTTTTACCAGGCTAGACTGGTGATGTACTAAAAATTTAAATGTCCCCACTCTGCTGCAACAGCTCTGCTTACAGGAACACAGGGCAGAGCAGGTCTCAGCAGGGCACAGAGCTGAGCGTAGATATGCACCGTGGCTGTGGACCCCGGGACAGGGTAAGGACCTGCTACTACAGGAGCCTCCAGTGAGTGCCAAGCAGCTCTATGTTGGAATCCTGTCAGTAGCGAGGACAATGTATGTGTGCTGGACACGTCACAGGCCCAAGATAATGCTGGTGAGTGAAAAAGCAGTTTGCACGACTATGAAGAGATATTCATGGGCTTGTAAAGGAAAAGTGGTCTGATGTCTAATACACGCAATATATTGGATGGACACCAACCTGCTGGTAATTAAGTACCAGAGAGATGGGGAGAGAGAGGACTTGTACTTTATAGATGCACACACTTTGTTTTAATGAGCATATATTAGTCTAGTAAGCAGAAAAATACAAGTAAAAACAAATCATGATTAGTAAAATGTTTCATAATTATTTTTAAATTTCTTAACATAATAATAGGTATAGTTCTAAGGTAACTGTCCTTGTTCATACTGATAAAGTAGGAAAAAAGGTAACCACCAGGTCCTCTATTATGGATGCACAGCGATACCAGATAGCACTTGGTCACAACTTCATTTCTAAAGGCAGCTATTTGTGCCCAGGCGGTGACACACTGTGGATACAAAACCCTTCACTCTGCCAGGCTGTGGTAGGAAACATGTCTGGCGTCTCCCGGCACCGTGGAGGCTGAATCGTCTCAGGATTCATCTTCTCTGGCTGGCACCATCTCTCTGAAGAGGCCAGGACTCACTAACTTCCATGTTTCTCCCCAAATCTAATGCCCACCCAGTGAGAAACAAGGAACTGCTCTGGTACAGAGAACAGAAAGCGGGTCATGTGGAGTGGGGATAAGGACGATGCCGTGAGGGTCGGAGATCTTCACTAATGGTCTCAGTGGAGAGACACAGAAGAAGGCAGCTCACAGACCTCTTGGCTGCTTCTCCCTATGCTCCATCTATACTGGGGATCCCAGGCCTGTGCTGCCTAGACACCCCCGCCCCCCGCCCCCACTAGATTCCCAACCTCTATCACTTTCTCAGGGGTAGAAGTCTGGTTCCAACACCCCTAGCCAGAAAATAGGCAGGGATCTGGGGACCAGCAACCAGATTACTAGAAAGATGGGGGATCCTTGACTTAAAAAGGACTCAATTTTCCAGAATGCCTAATTTTCATTCAACTTTCCTGATCACATACGAATGTAATTTGTATATGTCAAGTCCAAACATAATTTGAAGTGAGGTAGGTAGTTTCTCTCTACTCGTGCCTTCATCTTTGTGGTGACTGTCCAGGCCTGCGCCATGAAAGCACTAGTGTCCCGTGCAGGGGGCGTCACGGGCGGGAACTGGTGACCGGTGGGGATTCTCAGTTGGCTATTTTCTCAATCTCGTCCAAGTCATCTGTGTCCAATCTTTCTATTTTCTTATCTGAGGAAAAAAGATCAGAGGTCAGCACAGGCTTATGGAAGAGACGCCGCCTAGGGGAGGGGCAGCAGAGCAGGCAGAGAGGACACGCTGGTCTGTGACCCCAGCCCGTCTGCATTTACCCCCAGGCTGCAAAGCCTGACCTGGGGCTCCTGCCAGCAACAGTCAGAGCTCCTGGCCCCTCAGAGCAGCTGGCCCAGGGGAGCTGTCTTTCCAGCCCTGGCCCTGAACTCTCTAGATGTGCTCTGGAAGGCCTTTCCTCTCATAGTGGGGAGGGGAGCGTGGGCAGGGACAAAGGCTCCCTCAGGAAAAGAAAACCCCCCTTCTGCCCACACAACTAGACAACCCCTGTGCGGAAAGGGACTCACTGAAATGCTCCTGGATTCTGTTGAGAATGTTCATGCTGTGCTTGCTGTCCACCATGTTCACGGCCAGGCCCCTCTTGCCAAAGCGGCCAGTGCGCCCGATGCGGTGCAGGTAGGTCTCGTTATCCGGGTTCCCATCCTTGTCCACGGGGAGGTCAAAGTTGATGACGACAGACACCTGCTCCACGTCGATACCTGCATGGAGGAGAGTTGCAGAGGACTGAGCACGGCAAACAAAGTCACAGCCGCCACGGCCAGACCACCACACCCGCTTTGAGCCTGAGACTGGCCAGATCTGGGGACAAGATAACTAGCAGAACCCAGAGAAACAAAGCAGAACTTTGGCAAATGCTAACAAAATCAGGAAGAGAGCTTGTGCTAGATACAGCCATCTGGAGAAGCAGCTCAAACCTCACCAGATGTCCCAGGAATACCCAACGCCATTCTAAACCTATCAGGAGCCAAGAGGCTTTCTACCAGCAAGTCAGGAGTCCTGGCCTCGGGGAAAGTTACCGCCTGCTAAGGGATGCAGTCTGTGCTGGAGAAAAAGCGGCTCCCTACCTCCCCACCCCATCTCCCCAAAGCACCTGAGTCCTGGCGCAGAAGGACTGCTCCCACTACCCCAGCCCAGCAGGCCAGGACACACTCTCTGCTCACCTCGGGCACACACGTTGGTGGTCACCAGAACCTTCTCTTTGCCCTCTCGGAAGCGCTCGATCACTGCAGCCCTCTGCTCCACCATCATTTCACCGCTCAGCAGAGCCACCTGGTGGCCTTCTTTTGAGAGCTCTGCTGCCAACCAACTAGCTGTTTTGCGGGTCTGGAGTGAAAAGAATTGTTTTAGATGAAGACACCTGCACGAAAGTGGCTTGTCGCCATTAAGAAACACGAAAGCCCCGCTGAGTTCAGTCAGCAGGTTAGCCCTATAACTTCTCAAACAGAATTGTAGCCACTTTTCACTGGCTGCTATCTGAAGTTTCTCCTAGTATGTCTGAGAAGTGGGGTCAAAGGAGGTTGGGTTCTTCAAGGCCCTCCCCAATAACATAGCTGGGGAGCATATGCCTGGGGTAAGTGGAGGTGATTCACCATTTCCTTTGTGCCACACGGAGGGCACCTGGTCCTCAGCACTGTGTGGGGGGCTGGCTGAGAGGCAGGGGTGGGGCCAGCACTCCCCAGGGGGGCCTCCGTCCCCACAGGCCTCAGCAGCTGCTCTACTCACGTGGCAGAAGATCATGGCTTGAGCGATGGTGATGGCCCCATAGAGGTTACATAAGGCCTGGAACTTCTCATCTCTGTTACTGCACAGGACGTAGTACTGCTTGATGGTGTCCAGCGTCTCCTCCTCGCGCTTCAGTTTGATGATGTTTGGTTCTGGGACCACTTTCTGGGCAAATTTCCACACAGAGTCTTCAAAGGTGGCAGAGAAAAGCAGCATCTGGCAGTTCCGGGGTAACATCCTGCAAGGGAGGCCCAGGTTATCAGGTGTGACCCTCAGTTCCCCGCCCCCCCCCCCCCGGAAACTGATTATATTCTAGAACTGAGTCAAACAGAGTGGGAGGGAGAAGAGGAATGGATGAAAACAAATTGGGAAGGAGCTTAATGGATTCTGCTGGTGGACTTTGTAGTTGGTGGCCCGAGCATCATGGTAACTCCATCTGAGGTGGGGATCATAAACATAGAGAGCCCTTGTGCTCTGTCCTTACACAACCTAGAAACACTTTTCAAGAATTGGTGTATTGTTTGTCAGATGGCATCAATAATGAAGGCAGGACTGTTGAAGTAGATCTCATAATCAGCGTGGAATTAACTTTGGATCGTGCCTTTCTTTCTCACGTCTTGTTTTTCTAACTCCAACCTCCTTTTTTCAAAATTTTCTGCCCAACCCACGACTCTGTCTCTTTCAAATGTCTCCTTCCATGTCCCCCAAGTCCCTGGTGCAAGTTCAAGGCTGAGAAGCTCAGCTTCTTCACATGTCTCTCTGCTCCATGTGCCTCCTCCAGGTCTCCTCTATTCAGCCTCATCTCACAAGCCCTCTCTAGCGTCTCCACTGCTCAGTCCATCCTTCTGCTTTTTTTTTTTTTAAAGATTTATTTTATTTATACAAGAGCCGGGGTACAGGCCAGAGGCGCGGGAGGGTGAGAGGATTCACCAGAGACAGAGTGGGGAGAAGAACAGGCAGACTGACGAAATACACTGCTAAGGGGAGCAGCGGGCGCAACAGGAGAGGTCTACTGAGCCATGTGGGATTCTCGCCGGACAACCAGGAGCAAATCAGCACTGCAGAGGCTGCAAACAGCTTCACAGCACAGCACTCAACTGCCTGTGCCACCAGGGAGGCCCTGAACCTCAGTTTTTAATGGAAGAAGAGCACAGCTCCCCCTTCCCCCACCTCCCTAAGGAGTGGATGGCAGGCATCCCCAGGGAGGTGGCAAAGTGGAGGAGGAACACTGCAGGGCCTGGGGAGGAGCAGACACCGGGGCACAGGGGAGGGTGGTACTGGATTCCCTAAGTCTCCTTCCTCAAGCCAGCCCACCAAGCAGATGCCTCTGAAGGTTCAGGAGGAATGCACCAGCCAGAGCAAGGAGATGGGCTGGATGTAGTGGGAAGAGACACAGGGAACAAGGTTTTACATGGCATCAGGAGGCTGAGAAGTCCTTTCTGGCTCAAGAGTTCCCACCTCTGGATGCGGATGCTCTGATCTTGGTGTCCCTGGGTAGCTATCATCACGTCAGCCTCATCCAGAACAAACACCTTGATCTTCTTGGGGTCAATGAACTTGAGCTTGGAGCACCAGTCCAGGACGGTCCCAGGGGTGCCAATGACAATCTGCTCACTGATCTTCTGACCTCTTTCCACTGTGGAGACAAGATGTTTTCTGTGATTATTTCTATTACAAACCCATCTCTGGAAATCAAAGCCTTGCCCATATTTTCAGAGCTAACACAACAAGGTAATTCCAGTTTTCAAAAGACACCAGTGTTTTCCTAAAATCTAGGGTTCTTCTGTAGAGTGGGCATAAATACACTTCTCATTTCACTTCTCAGTGAAGAAATTCTAGACTGTAAGAACTCTGTGATGAATAATGCAAGGATTTTTTAACAACTCAAGACTAGAGAGCACTGTTATCAAGTCATTAAGTGTTTAAAAAGATTTACCAAAAGCAATGCAGATGGATTCTAAGATCAAAGTTAACATGAAAGCTTAATGTCATCATCATACCTTCAAATTCAAACACCCAACCACCCTCACTGCTCAGGTCTCACCATTTATACTCACACTTATTGCCTCGAACAGCATAAGCAAGCTTTAGTTCTGGATGAAATTTGCCCATCTGCTCAATCACTTTTCCTGTTTGAAGTGACAGCTCGTATGTTGGGGAGAGGCACAAACACTGATTGGGAGATCACAGAGAAGAGAGTTAGGAGAACCTTTTCGTAATAAGTAACAGGTTCTAAAGCAACAAGTATGTGGACATTATGGGCAAGACCCTTGCAGCTGCAGCCTGAGCCTTCAACACTTGGTGGATGCCCTTAGCTTTAGCCACTGTCTCAGGCTGCTGCTTCCCGCACACCAACCTGCTCTTACTGAGCCACAATCTGAGGTGGCAAACATTCAGAACCCTCCAGGGGCATCTTCATTAACCCCTCACCAGATGGCACTGCTCTTCTTGGGCAGGCAAGGCAGGTCCACAGCCCTCACCTGGGGGTACCTCTCTGCTGGTTCCACTCGGCTGAGCATGGCCAGAACAAAGGCAGCTGTTTTACCAGTACCAGACTGAGACTGGGCAATCAGGTTCTGTGGGCTGGGTCAACAAAAAACACAAAAGAAGATAATATTTGTTCAACACAAGTATCAAAATGTTTTTTCCAGGTATTAGGAACAGGGATCTTCTTACTTTCTGCTTCTATTATCCAGGTTTTCTACACTGGGCATAAGGATGCATTATGTATGTGCTGTTAAAAGTGCTTAAATATTAGGGGACATAATGACTCTTTCTTGTGGGTTCACAACAGGAAATCCTCATTCCAGATTCTAGCACAGTTTAAGAGTGCCCAAGTTTTATACCTAAAGGGCTCCATGGAAATTAAGACTGCAGAGTGAGATCTGTGCCAGGACAAATCCCTGAGGACACTTCTGCGGAGCCATAATGTGTCTCCAGGACTCAACTCCTTTTGTGTGTTCTCCTTTTCTTTTTCCGTTTTTTTTTTTTTGTGGGACCCTCGCCGGTGGCCGGGGATCGAACTGGCACTGCAGAGGCTGCAGGCAGCCTCACAACCCAGCGCTCAACCACTGCGCCACCAGGAGAGGCCCTGTTCTCCTTTTCTTTATGGAAAATGCAAGATACTAAATCAGACAGGTGGTTTAGAGGGGACTTTGATATGACATCCATCTTATTCACTTCGTTTAACCACTTGTCATGGACTAGATGGCATTTTGGTCATTAAAATAAAATAACACAGTTGAACAAGATAACTTGCTACTTAAGTATGATACCATTTATATAAGACTAAAATACGTGAACTACTCTTTATAGAGTCTTAGGGACACAGCTGTAGTCTTAGGGACAAAGACATGTGAGAGAATGGTGGTCCATTTCAGAGTGATGCTTACTTCAGTGGGGAGGAGGCCACAAAAAGAGAGGGAGACACAGAGCCTTCAGCCATCAACTAGATTAATGCTGGCTTAATTCTAGGTATACTAGGGTTAAACAGATGGTCATTGGTATTGTTCTTGATGCCTTTTTTGAAGATCTCAAGGATTTAAAAATAATTTTTAAAAACCCAATTGTAAAAACTGTACAGAATTAATAGCACTAACTTTATCCATTTTTACTGCCAAATGGGAAAGGCAAAAACTGTTCTGAATTCCACCTCTTTGTTCTTGTCTAGGCTGTTTGCCTCCAATGGTCCATTCTGTCTCAGGAATAACAGTAACTGTTGGTGGGCCTCCCCGGTGGCGCATCGGTTGAGTGCTGGGTTGCGAAGCTGCCCCGCGGCCTCTGCGGCGCCAGTTCGATCCCCGGCTGCTCCCCGGCTGCTCCCCGGCCACCGGAGGAGGGTCCCACATGGCGCGCAGACCTCTCCTGCCGCCCGCTGCTCCCCTCAGCAGTGTACTTCGGTCCTTCTGCCTGCTCTGCTCCCCGCTCTGGCTCTGGTGAATTCTCTCACCCTCCCGTGCTTCTGACTGTACCCAGTGCTTGTATAAACAAACAAACAAAAAAAACAAACAAACCAGCAAACAAATAAATAAAGCATGCCTCTCTAAAAAAAAAAAAAACAGTAACTGTTGGTGTAAGACATTAAGCCAAATTCTGAAGCGGTATCCCTGGGGTGGGGGTGGGTCTGCATACTCACGGCTCAGCAAGCATCATGGGCAACGCATTCTCTTGTATCTTGGATGGTCGATTAAAGCCCATGGCATAGACTCCCTGGAGAAGCTGTGGTTTCCTAGGAGGCCAGGGATAGAAAAGATAGATTCCTATTGTTGGCATTGTTTTAAAGACCTAGAACTTTATTATTCCCTACATCTCACAAGAATGATATTTCCTATCTATGTCAGATACATTTTCTTGCTCTTAACTCACAAAGACGTTGGCCCTGAATGACAAATGTTCCCTAGGTACTACAAGAGTAGTATTTATTAATTTATAGTATTAAATAAATTATAAAAGACATCTAAAAGACATTTCTACTGCATAGTAAACCGCTAAATTACAGAATCCCCTTTAGGGAATGGGATTCAGTTTTAGCATCTCAGTGCAGATGCTAAATTGAACCACAGTCACTTTGTATTCCAAGGTCATTTTAAAGCCAGCTATACAAATACTAGGATAAGAAAGAGGTAAGAAAACTGATTCAGCAGTTTTTAGAAGCTGATCTACAGTGAATACCTTAAGAAGGGTTCAGAAAATACATTGACTTTACAAATGCCTAAATTTAGTTATGACTTTTAGTGAAAATCAAGACTAGAATAGTAAAGTTATTCTAACAGCACATTTACAGTAAGCTCTCTGTTACCTCTACATCGGCAAAGTGTTTTTTAAAAACCACAACAGATTATTTCTAAAGAAAAGTCAAAGCAAGTCAAGACTTTTGTTCTCGAAAGCCTTTAAAAAAAAAAAAATGTTTATTTATTTATGCACACAAGAACTGGGGTACAGGCAAGAGATGCGGGGGGTGAGAGGCTTCACCAGAGGCAGAGCGGGGAACAGAACAGGCAGATTGACTGAAATTCACTGCTAAGGGGAGCAGCGGGTGAACAGGAGAGGTCTGCTGCGCCATGTGGGTTGCTCCCTGGCCACCGGGGATCAAACTCAAGCAAGCATCATGGGATGCTTGCTGCAGATTGCAGAGGCTGCAGATTGCTTTATAGTGCAGTGCTTAACCCCTTGCACCACCAGGGATGCCTTCAAAAGCATTTTTTGGAGTTTAACAGGCTCCCAAAACCAAATTTTTCTGGCATATGTTGGTTCTCAGACAAAAAGAACTCTGTAACCTTTGGTGTCTTTTGTTTGGAAGAAAAGGCAGATTCTGATCTGGTTGCCAAGGAAACAAAGTTACTCCTGGGATTAGGATCCAAGTGATCCAAAGCTTCCAGTGACTTCATTTTTCTTTTATTTCGTAGGTTAATGCAAATCTTTTAAGTACAAAACAGACTGAGTTTATCTGGAGACCTAGGTTTCATTCTTTGTTTCCTGTAACTACTGAACACTAAATCAGAGAGAACTTCCCTTTTCTTTCTTTTTTTTTTTTAAAGATTTGTTTATTTATTTATATAAGCACTGGGTACAATCAGAAGCATGGGAGGGGGAGAGAATTCACCAGAGCCAGAGAGGGGAAAAGAACAGGCAGACTGATGAAATATACTGCTGGGGGGAGCAGTGGGCACGGCAGAAGAGGTCTGTTGCGCCATGAGGGACCCTTGCTGGTGGCCAGGGATCAAACTGGCACTGCAGAGGCTGCACGCAGTTTTGCAGCCCAGCGCTCAACCGCTGTGCCACCAGGGGAGGCCCTGAGAACTTCCCTTTTCAAGGAGGGCAATTCATCACGGTTGAACAGTTGACTTCATTTAAAAGTCCTTTTTAAAAAAATTTACTTATGCATACAAGAGCTGGGGGGTAGGCCAGAGGTACGGAGTGGGGGGCAGGGGTGAGAGGATTCACCAGAGACAAAGTGGGGAACAGAACAGGCAGATCTACTGAAATACACTGCTGAGGGGAGTCATCAGGCAAGATAGGAGAGGTAGGCTGCACCATGTGGGTTAGCTCCCTGACCAGGGGAGGGAGCTGCTGAAAGCTTGACAGTGCTGAGACTTAACCCTTTGTGCCACCAGGGAGGCCCTAAAAGTCTTTTATTTTATTATTTTTTTAAGATTTATTTATTTATACATACAAGTACTGGGGTACAGCCCAGAGGTGTGGGAGGTGAGAGGATTCACCAGAGACAGAGTGGGGAACAAAACAGGCAGATTGACTGAATTACACTGCTGAGGGGAGCAGCGGGCGAGTCAGGAGAGGTCTGCTGTGCCATGTGGGTCTCCTCCCTGGCCAGGGATTGAACTTACGCTGCAGTGGCTGTGGGTAGCTTCATAGTGCTACCCCTTGTGCCATCAGGGAGGCCCCCCCTAAAAAGTCTTTTAAATGAAAGAATTTTATTTTTTAATTTTTTAAAGATTTACTTATTTATACATACAAGAGCTGGTTGCAGGCCAGAGATATGGGGGGGCGCGGTAAGAGGATTCACCAGAGACAGAGTGGGGAGCAGAACAAGTAGATCCACTGAAACACACTGCTGAGGGGAGCAGCAGGGAGACCGGAGAGTTGTGCTGTGCCATGTGGGTCAGTTCCCTGGCCGGGGATCGAATTCCTGCTGCAGTGGCTGCAGATAAATTCATAGTGCTGTGTCTTAACTACTTGCGCAACCAGGAGGCCTAGGAATTTTTTTAAAAAGCATTGATACTTGGGAAAGCAAACTGTCTGGGCAGGAAGCAATAGAGCATACCTAGCTGATCTGACATGAACAGGGCAGAGGTGACAGATTTGCTGAATGAAGCCCTTGATGGAGGATATACACTGAGAAAAACATAATTTCTTGCAAACACTGTGGAAAAAGAGCACATTTTAAAAAATTTGTTCTTGGGCCTCCCTAGTGGTGCAAGGGGTTAAGCACCGCACTATGAAGCAACCTGCAGCATCTGTAGCACGAGTTCGATCCTCAGCCGACTAGGGAGCTACACACATGGCACAGCAGACCTCTCCTGTCTTGCTCGCTGCTCTCCTAAGCAGTGAATTTCAGTCAGTCTGCCTGTTCAGTTCCCCACTCTGTCTCTGGTGAATCCTCTCACCTCCCCATATCTCTGGCCTGTACCCCAACTCTTGTATGCATAAATAAATCTTTAAAAAAAAAATTGGGGCCTCCCCTGGTGGCGCAGGCGGTTGAGCGCCGCGCTTTGAAGCTGTCCGCAGACTCTGCAGCGTTGGTTTGATCCCAGCTGGCCGGAGAGGTTCCCACATGGCAAGGCAGACCTCTCCTTTCTTGCCCGCTGTTCCCCTCAGCAGTGTGTTTCGTCAGTCTGCCTGCTCTGTTCCCCGCTCTGTCTCTGGTGAATCCTCTCACCCTCCCGTGAATCTGGCCTGTACCCCAGTTCTTGTATAAATAAATAAAATCTTTAAAAAAAAATTATTCTGGGCCTCCCCGGTAGCGCAGCGGTTTAGTGCTGGGTTGCGAAGCTGCCCGCAGCCTCTGCAGCGCTGGTTCGATCCCCAGCTGCTCCCCGGCCACCGGAGGAGGGTCCCACGTGGCGCGCAGACCTCTCCTGCTGCCCGCTGCTCCCCTCAGCAGTGTATTTCGGTTCTTCTGACTGCTCTGCTCCCTGCTGTGGCTCTGGTGAATTCTCTCACCCTCCTGCGCTTCTGACTGTACCCAGTGCTTGTATAAATAAATAAATAAATAAATAAATAAATAAATAAATAAATAAATAAATAAATCTTAAAAAAAAAAAAATTGTTCTTAGCTATTACTTCATCAACAGCTTTATTAACAAATGTTCATTGGGGGCCTCCCTGGTGGCGCAGCGGTTGAGCACTGGGTTGCAAAGCTGCCTGCAGCCTCTGCAGCACCGGTTCGATCCCCGGCTGCTTCTCGGCCACTGGGTGAGGGTCCCACATGGCGTGCAGACCTCTCATGCCGCCCACTGCTCCCCTCAGCAGTGTACTTCGGTCCTTCTGCCTGCTCTGCTCCCTGCTCTGGCTCTGGTAAATTCTCTCCCCCTTCCACACTTCTGACTGTACCCAGTGCTTGTATAAATAAATAAATAAATCTTTAAAAAAAAAAACCAAAAAACAAAAACAAATGTTCATTGGAACTATTTAGTTCTAGTTAATGACCCTGTTTTAAGTGTCTCTAAAGCAAGGTAGTAGTTGGCAGGAATTTGATCCCTATTTGTTCATCGTGGATACACTACAGATTTAACCGAAGAAAAGGAAAAAAAAAGCCATTTATTCTAGCACTTTCTTATTCACCAGCTATTTTTATTTTCTATGGTCAGAGTCCTAGCAGACAGCAAGAACAAAAGCCATGTCTTGTGATACTCCTAACAGCCAGTATAACAACATATATATGAACCAGTGAGCCACACGCATCTCTCTATGAACTTTATGAAGAAAAAATCTTGGTATGACCTTTCATAATTTTTTTGTTTTTAAAAGAACACACTAGAAGTCATTCTTAACACAATGCCATAAATGTGTTCCCTAAAACTTAATTCTGAGTTCTGGAATTTTTTAAATTCTGGAATGCCAGAAGCTGCCTTCCTCTGTAGGTACTGGGAATCTTGCACAGGCTCTTTTGACAGATCTTATAAAAACAGATGAACTATTCTTAAGACTGTAAACCCTATAGTCTTACAAAAGGGCTTACCTAATAAGAAATGTTCCTGACATCCAGATATCACCTGTCAGCCAATATTTTATTGAAAGTTCTAAGAGCATAAAAGAAAAAAGACTTTCAGCTATGATGAATAAATTTGTGGCATTTAAAAATCCCTACCAAGAGGAAAACTGGGTAACCAAGAGACAAGGGTGGAGGGAGGCCATCACTGTAAACTTTCTCATACTTTATGATTTCTGAATCATGTGCATTATTAACTAGTCAAAGAACTAAACACATCAAGATTTTTAAAAATAAAAATTAAATTACCACAAGATCTCTGAGATGCTAAGGGAGAGGTATGGAAAAGTGGTTCAAAGGAATGAATACTCACAGCCGAAGCTCCTCAAAGGACTTCACTGAGTAGAGGGGGGAGTTTGGGTCCCGCTGCAGGACTTCCACTTGGTTTGTGTTATCGACAAGATTGCTTCTGATCAGCTTGTTGAGTAAGGACTGGGCGGCTCTGTCCTCTGGCAAGAGGAAACCAGATTTTCTTCATACTTATCCCCCTGTAACTCTGGACAAACAGCCTATGCTCCCACCCACCTAAAACTTCTTCTCATCCTGTCCCAAGAATCTCCAGGTAGCCAAGCATGGTTGAAGAAAAACATATTCATATTGACAGGTTTCACTTTCAATTCCTGACCACTAGACTCAAATGGACTGAGCTGCCAATAGATCTATTTCTACAAGCCACTTATTCACTTTTCTCAGACTTCCATCTGTACCTTCTCCTCTCTTCTCAAACTTCTATCCTACCACATTCTCACTCAACTGCTGTGAGATTGAGAAGGCCAAGCAGTCAAAACACTTGTGGCCTCCCTGGTGGCCTAGGGATTAAATGTCAGCACTATTACCATTACAGCCTGAGTTCGATCCCTGGCCAGGGAGCTAACCCACAAGGTGCAGTAGACCTCTCCTGTCTCACCCACTGCTCCCCTCAGCAGTGTGTTTCAGTAGATCTGCCTGTTCTGCTCCCCACTCTGTCTCTGGTGAATCCTCTCACCGCCTGCACCCGTTTTTCTAAGCAAAAAAAAAAAAAAAAAAAAAGCACTTGCATACACTACCTGACAGTTTACCTCACACTCACACCCCACATCCTCTATTTTTTTTTTAGCATATGTGCTGCCGAAGCAAACACTCCCCCTAACCTCTGTCTATACACATGTTCGCTGCAGTGTTCCTGCCCTACCTCTTCCCCCTCAGGAGGGACCAAAGGCATTTCTCCCAACATGGACCCAAATGCTTGCATATCAATCTGCCCCTCCAGTGATTGGTCCCACCCTCATCTGAGAACATGTTTAGTATCACTCAACAAAAATCTGCATCCTCCTTTATTCCACATTCCCACCCACTTACTGCCCCATTTTTTCTGCTGCCCTTTAACAGAACATTCCCTAAAAAGCTGTCTATGCTCATCATCTAATGTCCTGTCCTCCCTTTCCCTGTTGAATGTACACAGGCCTTTTCTAAACCTCCTCACTTAATCCAAACATCACTTATCAATTTGCCAATGAATTCTACACTGTTAAATTAGCCTAACAGTCAATTTTTAGTTCTTAATCAATTTATCACCTACATTTGACATCCTACTTTTGAAACCCTCCTTCTTCTGATTCCTGGGCCACCACTTCTGTGGGTCTCTCTCTACCTCACTGGCCGCTTCTCCTCAGTCTCCTACTGGTTCCTCCTCAATTCCTAGATATCGTAAATTGGAACACCACTGACTCCAGGAAGCAAGTCCTGGGTCATACCTTCTCTTGTAACAGGGTTTCAAATTGTTACCTTTCTCTTCTTCATCTGTTTTCTCGGCAGTGGTATTGGTTTTGATAATGCCTACACAAGAAAACAGTTGTCATGATTAGAAAAGCAAGTAGTAAACCCATACCTAGAGGCAGGACAATAGAAACAGTAAACATATGTAGGTGATCAAAACACAAATATTTGGTATATTTTTATGCCTCATGGATTTTTGTTCCTAGGGAGTTTGTAAGTGCTTTAAAAAATCTCAAATTTCTAGAAATTCTGGCTCACTTCACAGTGATCAGTATATGCTACCTCTGACTGACTTATCCTAATTTAAAATAGAACATTATATTCACAAACATTATTAGATATTAGAAAAAAAAAATAAAGGGGTTAAAAAATAAAAGGAATAGGTAGAAAGATCCCTTTTTATAGAATATATGATTGTAAACCTATAGGACTATGACTATCAACTTTAAAATGACTACAAAATAAGCTCTCTAAGTAAAAGGTAAAAGAGTTAGGTACAAAGTAAAAAATTAGTAGCTTTCAGAAATACAGATATAACTAAACAGCTCCTATTTATAACAGTAACTAAAAAGACAAAATATTGCACCAAGAAATAAAGTTAACAAAAATTATGCAAGATTCATACTTTAAAAACTTTAAAACACTCATAAAATAATGCAGAGAGACAGCTAAAACGTTTATAGATACATTAAAATGAACTCTAAAATATTCAATTAACCCAAAAAAGGCAGGAAAGTAGAAGACAAGAAATAAAATACGAGGGGACAAATAGAAAACAAATGGTAAAATATGGGCCTTGGTGGTGGCGCAAGTGGTTGAGCATAGCCCTGTGAAGCTGTCTGCAGCCTCTGCAGTGCTGGTTCGATCCCCGCCTGCCGCAAAGCAACCCACATGGCGCAGCAGACCTCTCCTGTCTCATCCGCTGCTCCCCTCAGCAGTGTGTTTCGGTCAGTCGGCCTGTTCTGTTCCCTGCTCTGTCTCTGGTGAATCCTCTCACCCTCCCGCATCTCTGGCCTGTACCCCAGCTCTTGTATGCATAAATAAATAAATCTTTAAGAAGAAAAGTTTAAAAAAAAAACAAACCCCAATTTCTAAATAATGCATGGACCAATGAAGAAAGCAACAGGGAAAACCGAAGATATTTTAAATTGTATGCTAAAAACCATAGGCAAATAAATAGAAGACAAGAAATACAAAGAGTAGACATCAATAAAACAGATCAACTACAAAGAAAATTAACACTGCCAAAAGGCGATTCTTTAAGATTAAAAAAAAAAAAACTTTGGTCTCCCTAGTGGTGCATGGGGTTAAGACACAACCTATGAAGCTATCCACAGCCAGCACAGCATGAGTTTGATCCCCAGCCAGGGAGATACCCACATGGTGCAGCAGACCTCTCCTGACTCTCCTGCTGCTCCCCTCAGCAGTATATTTCAATCAGTCTGCCGGTTTTGTTCCCCACACTGTCTCTGGTGAATCCTCTCACCCCTCGCATCTCTGGCCTGTACCCCAGTTCTTGTATGCATAAATAAATAAATCTTAAAAAAAAGAACAAAAACCTGATACATTTTTAGGAAGTCTTAAAAAAGAGAGCACACAAGTTGCCAGTATTAGAAATGAAAGCAGGGATACTGATCACAGAGCCTATATTCATTCAGACACTCCCACAGACACAGAAAGATATTTGGAGGGAAAATGGAAAGATAAGTCCAGTTTTTATAAGACACAATAATATTTTTCATATAACTGTAGTAGCTTTATTTTTTTCTACCCTTAACCAAAACACCTGTGCCCATACCTCATCTACCTCCTTCCACACCCTTCCCCATCCCCCTACCCCCCCCACCAATTTGGAAACCATTATATTCCTTTTGCTGAGTTCAAGATTTATTCCTTATATACCCAAAAAACATTCACACACAAAGAATAGTACAAATAAGTGTTTATACTGAGTTCTGAACTGTGAATTTCAATCTAAATAGACCTGTAGGATATAAAATAGAGTATCTCACACATGTGCCCTCAAGAAAACAAAACTTATGAACTGATAAGCTGAGACTGATTTCCCATAAATGCCTGAAAAACAGAAACTGAAATCCAGCCCTCAACCAATGGACATCTGCCAGGAATATTTCCCCATCCTTGATCTCATAAACTTGCTACTTAGATTTGTTGAAAGTTCAGAAATAGTGACAGCAAAGCTAACAAATCACCAAAAAACAAAACAAAAAACAAATCACCAAAATAGTGACTTCTAGAGGTTTCTTGTGCACACAGGAAGACAACAGCTTGAAAGAGAGGAGGGGAGCATGCAAGCCAAACACAGGATGAAACTGGGAGCACAGCACCACAAAGCTCTTTATGTATTGAGAAAACCACGGCTGTTTATTCCTCACAATGATTAACTGTAGTAACAGAATTTTCTTAAATGACAGGGAGTTAATCAAAGGAAGTCAACTTTGGGAAGTTTATTTAGTTTCCAGAGACACAGACAAGAAATGACCCAGGTTGAATTGGTCTCACAAAATGGGCTGAATTGAGCTTTATTTGTATGAATGAGCTGGTTTTGTCTGCTGACAAATTTTCATGGCTGGTCTCTTTTAATTTTAGCAGATTCTAACTAAGCTCTCTTCTCTTTCCCTATACATAAATACAGCCTACTCCAATCCCTCAAGGGCTTATCTGCAACTCGCTAAGGCTACATGTCCCAAACTGTAATTCCTCTCCTTTTGCCAAATAAATTTTTCTATAAACAAATTTGATTTTACTTCAGAACCCAGATATTTTGAAAAATTTAAGTAAAAATTTTTAGAGAAACAATATCAAGAAAACTGGTACTATAATTCAAATGATTCTTCATTTTAAGGAGTCAGAGGCTAGATCACATCTGGAAAACTAACATATATCCCTTTACGCAAAGCAAATGAATGAGTGGCTCTCAAAGCCAGCACTGTCCTTTGCAAACATTGCTAATGGACAGCCGCTTTCAATACTATAGCTGTGAGGGCAAAACCAAAGCATGTATAAGCTTCTATCCAGCTAGCAGTAACTAGTGACTCACCATTGGTATCTGGTTTGACTTTCTCTTCTTTGATCTGCAAACTATTCATCTGAAAGGGAATAAAAGGAAACTAAGTTTAGCGGGGTTGTGCTGCTCAAGCAAAACAGATAAAAGCCACGGTGAAAACATCATTTCATCCATCCTGGACAGCCTTCAAAGTGGGGTGGGGTGGGATGGGAGCGGGGCAGCAGATGTTAATATTTAGAAAGAAAAAATATGAGTCTAAACCTGTGTTTTTCTTTCCAACTGGCCTTCTTTATAGCACATCTAACCTTCACTAAGTATCTATGATAGCCTTTCAGTGGCACACAGTTCCTTTCTAGGCACAAAAGAGAATCTTTTTTAAATCCTGAAATCCATATGGTATTAAAGCAATTAAGTCTTTTTTTAAAAAAGATTTATTTTTATTTATTTATACATACAAGTACTGGAGTGTAGGCCATAGGTGTGGGGGTGAGGTGAGAGGATTCACCAGAGACAGAATGGGGAGCAGAACAGGCGATCTACTGAAATACACTGCTGAGGGGAGCAGCAGGCGAGACAGGAGAGGTCTGCTGTGCCATGTGGGTCAGCTCCCTGGCAGGAGATCGAACTCAGGCCACAGCAGATGGCAATAGCTTGATAGTGCCGAGACTTTAACCCCTGTGCCACCAGAGAGGCCTTAAGACTTCTTTTTTTGTCTGATAAGCACCTCTACTAGGAGGTGCTCTTAGGAGTTTGTGCCTCATTTCCTTCAGCCTCTGCCCCATGTGCCTTCTCCTTTGCTTAATTTTGCTTTGCTTTGTATCTCTTCATTGTAATAAATTACAGCTAGGAGTACAACTGTATGCTGAGTCCTGTAAGCCCTCCACTATTCTGGATATCTTTGGGGGCCTCCCAACGCAGGTACTTACAACCAAGGTATCCTCCTTATTACAAATTCACAACAGCCAACCTTAAACTCACTATTCTCCTTATCAAATCTCCCTTTCCAACCAATAGTCTTCTTACTAGTTTTACTTGACAAGTAATATCTATGAGATCTACCACCTTTGAGAGCTGGGCTGAAACAGTCATCTTTAGTTCCCTTCTCCTGCCCATTATACCTCCACAATTATCTCTTGAACCCCTCCTATCATCTTCCCTTTGACCATGCAACTTAAGCCCTCTGTCTCTGGGAAATTACAATAAACTTCTACACTGATCTCCTTTCCTAATATTTTCTATTCCCTGCAGTCAGATAAATTTTGCCAGCTTTCAGAGCTAATTTTGTCAGTAACTTTGTTTAAAAAATCCCCAAGCCAACCAAATGAAGACCCTCCTCTTAAATTCTTAGTTAAGGTCCAAAGTACACTTTTATATTTTCTAAAGTGTCCCCAGTACAACCCAAATGCCTTAAGCTGCAGGAGTTCTGATTCCTGTTCTCTAGGCAATTGGAGCACCTTGGTGTTCTCTCTTCTCCTAAAATGCCTTTCACCTCCATCTCTATCTCAAACTCTTGCTCCAATATCCAGCTCAAATGTAAACTTCTACACAAGAAATTTCCCTACTTGTAAACGTCCATTCTGTGCTCAGAGGACATTTATCACATTTTTTTAAACCACTTTCACAGCACTTCCCAATCTAGCCTTCCCAGCTAGACTACAGCTAGTCTGTAAAACTTCTACCTACACTCCACTGTATTCAGCCCATTTTAAGTATCTGCTGACAAACTGATAGTTCTCCCAAGAGCAACAAAGGGTCACTGAAGAAGAAACGTAATTTAGACAAAAGTTATATGTGATTTCCAGAAATAGGGACTACCCAAAAAATCTGTTTTTAAAAAATCAATAGTTCATGATCACCAATAGACAGTGACAGTCAAACCTACACTTGGATATAAGAATACAAAGTCACACCCTCTAGCTACCTTCCACTGAATGAGCCTTTGTTAATCAAAGTCTAAAACTAAAAGTCACCTTAAACATCAATGAAACAATTGACAGTGCCTCTCACCAACATTTGCAGATTGAAACAAGAAATCTAAACCGGAACCTGTTATCTACAAAGAACCACAAATTGCCAAACACGTTAATCTTGGATCTAAAAATCCTACAACTGGGAAGCACAGATTCACTCAAAAACAGATGAGAAAGTATCAATATGTAAATCTGCCTTTCCCCACAGCCCCACCGAGGAGGTGGAGTCGGGGACAGACCGCAGACCCTGCGGGGACAGACCTGCCACAAGATAAGTCTTTAACTGGCCCAAATGACGAAAGCGGGGTGGGGGGGGACCCCTGCCGCGTCCGCCCCGCCGGGAACTGAAGCCACTGACCGACTTGACCGCCGCCTCCTGCTCGTCCACTGCCAGGGCCCACGAGTCGGTGGCCATGGTCCCGGGGAGGCGCGAGGCCGACTTCCCTCGCACCGCACCGCGCGCACTGCCGCAGCGCGACGACGAAACTCACGCGGCCCGGAAGTGCGCTTGCGTCCAGCTGACGTTGCTGCGTCCAGCGTGTGGCGTCAGCACTCCGCGCCGCGGCCGCCCGGGTGTGGGGCTTCCTGTTTGCTCTGGTTTTCTGCCGACTTGCACAGTTTTGAGTTCGCCGTGCTGGGAACGCCTCCATGTGTGTGAGGTGAAGCTCTCAGGCCTCAAGACAGTGCCTTGCTGCGCACTGAAATCCATTTTTAAAAATTTTGTCTCCTATGAACGCACCCGCCGGGGAACTCTGGGGTGAAGTCCCAGGAGAACACTGTCTGATGCCAGTTTCTGCTGTCGAGAACGCAGTAACAGGTAAGACCAAAAAATCAAAACCAAACAAAAGACCTGAATGTCTGTAGTAACACCACTCCAAAAAAAAAAAAAATACAGCTTTTTTCCCCTGGATCCTTCTAGCCTTCGTCAATACACATCATAGTGTTATAGGGCAGCCCCGATACAAAACGGGGTGCCTGACTGGGTCCTCACCCGCGTGCTTAAAAGGACTTATCAATGCTCTCCTGCAGGCACACGCGAAAGGTTAATAAAAGATTTATTTACAAGGGAAGGGCAAATGAGGAAATGTACAGCTCAGAGAGAAAAGTGGGAGACAAAGTTTTAAATGAGTCCTACCCGATCCGCCGATCTGGAATCCCAAATGGCACTCTGAGAGCTGGCTGCAAGCCAGGAGCCTAAAGCCAGGAGGCGAGCAACAGCGAGCCCCCCAAGGCCCAGTGTTTGGTTTTTATACCCAACCTGGCTGCTTAACTCCACCCTCAGGTCCCAGCCACCTTCCCTTTGGTGGTGATGGGATTTGTCTTTCCCAATGTCTTGATGGCTTTAGTCTGGAGTGGGAGTGGAGTCCACAAAGCCTGTATGGGATTAGCTCAGGACATAATTTCCCCCTAACAATAGCACAAGTTTTTGTATCGTTTTTAATATAGTCCTAAACAAAGTATACTTACGTTTTAACATTTGGCCTTTTTTATTTTACAACAAAGTATATTTTTAATAACCTAATTATCCGTGTAATGGCATTATAATCATCAAGCTCATCCCACATAAATCAGCTAAGTTCTCTACCATTCCCCACTTATGGGTTGCTTCCAACGTTTTATCATTAATTATCACACTTCAAAGAGCATCTCCATACCATCAAAAATCACTTTTGTCTCTCCCCATTGGACTATGAACTTCTCAACTAAAGGAGATCTTATCAGATTGGTGAACCTAGAAAAGTCCAGGGACATGGTAAACTTCCATAAATATTTTTCAGTGTATGGATGAATAGATTAATATAGATTTTTGGCTCAAAATGTGTCACTAGTTACTGCAGCATTTTTGTCAAAATATATAAAAGGTGTGAATACGTTGTAAAAGATAAGTTGTCAGTATGCCCTTGAAAAGGTGCTCAAAATCATTAGTTATTAAGGAAATACAACTCAAAGTTACCATAAGATACCACCACACAACTCTAGAGTGATTAAAATTAGAGATGTGTTGGTATGGATGTGGAATGTTTAAAAAAGATAATCAGTAACATTTGTTCAAGATGGTTTGGCAGACTATTCACCACCACTGATAAAGCTATAGAGATCACTGTGGTGGAATCTTGCAGTGGCAGAGAAAGATTGGGCTCAATTATTGATGAAAATATTCTGTATCTTAATTGGAGTGGTGATTTCACAGGTGTGTATAATTGTCAGATCTCATGGAAATAGACACCTGATCTGCACTGTGTAAAGTATGTATCAAAATGCAACAAAGAAGGGCCTCCCTGGTGGCGCAAGGAGTTAAGCACCGCACTGTGAGGCAGTCAGAATCCTCTATAGCGCTGAGTTCAATCACTGGCCGGCCAGGAAGCAACCCACATGGCGCAGCAGACCTCTCCTGTCTTGCCTGCTGCTCCCCTCAGCAGTGTATTTCAGTCAGTCTGCCTGTTCTGTTCCCTATTCTTGTCTCTGGTGAATCCTCTTACCCCCCGCATCTCTGGCCTGTACCCCAGCTCTTGTATGCATAAATAAATACATCTTTAAAAAAAATACAAAAAAGTAATGAAAAAAAGTAAAAAATACAGATTGTAATAATTTATACTGTAAAGAAATGGGGGTGTTCTCAGCTCTTGACCTATCCTAAAAACAGAGGATGCACACAGGAGGCCACAAGAGTAAAAGGTAACTGTCATGTTCTTTTCCCAAATGACCATTCTAATTCCCAGAATCCTCACCATCAATATGCTGCTGCTTCAGGACGATGTTGTTTATTAGCAGAGGGCACTGTGTTCTAAATCCTTATCAGGCAACAACTCTGGAGGAGATTGCTATTGGTATTCTGAGGAATAATATTTTAAGGATCAATTAGAAATAAATCTAAGTCATTAGATTTTGAGGCTCCTCTCCCTCTTACTCTCTTATCTCAAACATCTGCACAGCAAAGCTTTCCATTAAAACCGAAAGACTCAGTTTTGAGTTCTTTGGGGAAGAAGATGTTGCTTAGGGCAAACATTGAAGTCTGGGAGCTTACTATCCTCTTTTGATATTTCATTACAAGGTTGAGCTGTGCAACACTGAAAGGCTGATTCCTATATTGCTCCCACTGAAACCTAATTCTTGCAGCAAAATGTGGTCTCCGAGGTAACGGAGGGTAGGATTTTTGTTTGTGTTGGATTTGTAGGGGCCATTATTTTATTTTATTTTATTTTACCTTAGGGCCCATTTTAAAAAAAAATTATTACACTCACCTGCACATATTGGGAGGATGACTGGTATTTGTTTCATCCTAGTGAGTGTTCTCAGAGAGGTCTGAGAGCTGAAGCTCCTATTGAAACAATAACCCAGCCAGCCAATGTTTACAGCAGCTCTGGGCAATAGAGTGCCCTCTGCCAGGGCTATCACTCCCTTCTTTACTTGGCACTTACATTCCAAGAGAACGGCACCCAACTGGCCTCTCTGGTGGCACAAAGGGTTAAGTCTCAGCACTGTGAAACTACCCGCAGCCACTGCAGCATGAGTTCAATCCCTGGCCAGCCAGGGAGAAACCCACATGGCGAGGCAGACCTCTCCTGTCTGGCCCATTGCTCCCCTCAGCAGTGTATTTCAGTAGATCCATCTGTTCTGTTCCCCACTCTGCCTCTGGTGAATCCTCTCACCCCAGCACCTCTGGCCTACATCCCAATTCTGTATACGTGAATAAATAAAAATAAATCTTAAAAAAAATATAGCTAGAGTAAAGGGAATCTGGTAGATGGATAGAGAAACTTAGTAAGAATACTCCCATGGGAACAGGAGAGCACGAGGATAGGTGTGTTTAGAAGGTGGAGGGAGTCTCCATGTTTGAGTGTTTACTCCAGGCTGACAACTGAGGGGGATGATGGAGTTGGAAGTGAGTGAGTTTGGAAATAGTTACTGGACAGAATGGAGGAATTAACCAGGACTAATGATGCCCCAGGTTAGAGCCACTGCAGATTTTCTGAAGTAGTCCCCTCCATTGATATTAAATATAAAATCATATAAGTAGAACAATATTTGTTTCTCTGGTAATATTTTAGAAATTAACAAAGCAGGGCCTAAACACTGAAATTTGTTGTTGTTAGCACCATGCTCTAACCAGCTGAGCTATCTGACCAGGGGGAAATCTGTTGTTAAACTTGAACTTAAACTTACGGTTTGTCTGAAACTTTGATAGATGTTCTCATGGAATGTAACTCGAAGTGTAATTTCTGCACCAATTTAGAAGCTGTTGGTGTTTTATTAAAACATAGGCCAGTGGACAATATACCCAGCACCCGTGGCTACCTGATCAGGGACTGAATGTATCCTTTCAAGTCTAATAGAGGGGGAGGTTTACTCTCAGGGATAAACTGAGAACCTATTAAGTTTTTCTCTGATTGCAGAATCCCAAGGATATCAGAAGCATATGGATAAAGAAAAAACAAAACAGTTGTAAAAACTCACAAAATGTGTACCAGTGCTTCCAGAAGACTTCCATCTAGAGCCCATGTCCGCTCCCCATCTTCCTCTGGGAAAAGCTTGCCATGGTCCTGGGTGTATAGAAGGTCTGCATGTCTCACCCCAACCACCTCTCCCTGCCATGAAAAGCTATGAGAGTCTCAAGTGAGCAGCTGACTTCCAACCAGTTATCACTCTCAGGCTCCAGCTCATATTTTTTACCAATTTTTAAAAATTTGTTATTTATTTATGCATACAAAATCTGGGTACAGGCCAGAGTGCTGGGGGTAAGAGGATTCACTGGGGACAGAGTGGGGAACAGAACAGGCAGATTGACTGAAATACACTGCTGAGGGGAGCAGCGGGCGAGACAGGCGAGGTCTGCCTCTCCATGTGGGTTTCTCCCTGGCCAGCCGGGGATCGAACTCATGCTGCAGAGGCTTCGGATTGCTTCATAGTGCGGTGCTTAACCCCTTGCGCCACCAGGGAGGCCCTTCATATTTTTTCTTTCACCATACCTCCTGCCACTCTGCCCCGCCATTTCACAACTAGAACTATCTAGAAGCCTCTTGTGCTGCTGGAAAATACTAATGCCCAAAGTTTCGAATCCAAGGCTGACAGGTGCTGGAGAAAGAGAGGGCATAAGGCAGGAGTATAACAGATATCCTCCAAGCAGATCACCCCCATCCACTCCCCACTCCTTTAACTTCTCTTTTAAGTGTTTGAAGCAATTCTGGGGAAGTGCTGTCCCAGATTCAGTGTTAGTATAAAAAGGTCCTGAGGCCTCCTGGCTTTATCCCCTCAGGTTCCCTCATTTCCATTCTATCATATTTGAAAAATGCTGCAATCTGAGGCAACAGAAAAAGAAACTCTTATTTTCAAGCAAAAAAGCAGTCTAGTGAAACTGCAGGGAGTTCCCAGAAACCTTGCATCTGTGTTCTGGAAAGAGAAACCTGAGGACAGTCCCTGAAATCCATGGCTGGTGTTGGCAGTGGGCCTGATATCATACATGCTGTGAAGACTGAGCCCTGATGCCATCTGTTCTTTCCAAATCTTCCCTGTGGGCTTCCTTGTACAGGGCATCTAATTTTTAATAGCCACAACTCTTCTTTGGAATAATAAATATGTATAAAAATTTACCATCCTTCCCCTACTATATCCATTCAGTCCGTTTTTTTCTTGTGTTCCCACTATATCCAGTGACATCCTGGCAAATTGGACTTCTAAACGTCTACATGACTTTTCTAGCGCCAGTGTGTCCCACACACCATTAATAGACCAATTCCCCACCCCCAAAAAACCCAGTTTCATCATTTTTTTCTGTGATGTACGAATCTGTAATTTTACTAAATCCAAATCTTGTTCAGACAAAATCAGTCTTCAACTTCTACCTGAGACTTTTCTCGGCCTGCAGAGCCACGCTTCTCTCCACACGATCCTTCTAGCCTACTGGGTTTACTGCAAGAGGTTGCTTTGGTCCTGCTCTTCTCCCCCACCCCCACCCCCTTAGAGCACTCTTCTTGTCACTAGAATTCCGCTTTTCTCCACAAGCGTACTCTACTGTCACAAGATTTCCTCTAACCTCAGAAATCTTTAACTTTTGAATACAGTGAGTTTTTGAATGAAGTAACCCTCATGTTAAAGAATAAACAAGAGATGGAAACAACAAAGGAAAACCTATTTCTAGTCCTTTCCTAGACTGGAAAGCCAGAATGTGAGGATTTGGTATTTATTGGCCTCTGTCTCCTTTTTAACTAGCGTCCTTTAGTTTGCCAGCAGGAAAAAAAGAAATGTGAGGAGTCCTCTGGCCATGGAGCAGGGCCTTTGGTCTATGGGGACGTCCCAGTTGGTCTTGTTGAAGGAATGTCAGCTCTGAAAAGGAATAGTATCAGGTGACGACTAGCATATAGGAGGAGTCTTGTGTATGATTCCTAGTACTAGCAACCAAGAACTGCCGCTGTTTGCTTTCCTGTACTGATGTCTTAGTAATGTGAACACAGTAAGTTCCATTAACATCAATAAAGAATACATTAACAAGAAATTAGTTCTTATGCATACAGCAATGAATGACACTCATAAAAACCAATAAAATCCATTGTTTATGGACATTGAATATATCCAGAATTTTCCATTAGAACAAATCTTCCCTTCCAAGAGAGTTTCTCTGTTCTAGGACACAATTTTCATTTCATACATAGGAAATTATTAAAAATAATAAACTCTGGGGACTGAAGCTCCCCAAGAACTTAGTACATTTTTATATCACTATTGAATCTCAAGGCCATAGAGTCCTGGGAGCCAGGCACTGGCAGGAATGAATGTGGACCGTGAGGGACTGTGGACTATAGTGATGCCAGGGCAACAATCCAGAGCCATCCACGACAGTCTTATCTTTTTTAAAGGACATATACTCCTTTGGGAGTCTCTCTCCAGGGAAATGCATTTAAACTCAAAATACTGCATGCACTTTAGAGACTCCATGAAACCCATCCAGTGAATTCTTAGAGGGCCAAGCCCCAGGCTAAGAACTGTTGTACAAGTTTTCAGACCTCCATCTACTGTTACCCAGGTTTAGGGCTACACAGTAGGTAGGCTGTATGTGTTGTGAGAAGGTGAAGGTGCAGTCAGCTGAAACCTTGTGAGGAGTCTACACTCCTTTAATTATTGCCCTTGTTTTTAATTATTTCAGGATTGGTCCATAGGACCTTTGGGGTAGCATAACATTTCTTCTCTTCTTATAAGACTCTCAATATGGGTCAGGATTGGTCAGAAGCATAGAGAAGATTCTATACAGCAAGCACCCACTGGAGGATTGTGGCAGGATTGACAGTCTGTTGGTCTCACTGCAGTCACGGTAACAGAAGAGTTGGCCCTAAAATACAGAAATGCCTATAAGAAAGGTCTGGAATTGGGAACAGTCCTCATCCCAGGAAATGCCTCTTCCAGGCTTGGTCCTAGAAAAAGTGGCCATTCTGGAGCAATGCCAAAGAACTGAGGAGGACTTCTTTTGGCTCTTGCAATTCAGTTTTATATCTTTGCTTGGTCATGCTGTGGGTACCAATGACCTTGGGTAGGCATGAGGAAGTGTCCGTTATTATTTGCTCTGACTATTCTGCACCAAGATGGCGAGTTAGGATGTAGCAAAGGCTTTGGCAGTAACTTTTGCCACAGATGGATGAATAGCTGCAGTCCACCTAGTCTCTTAGTTGCACCTGTTTGGACTCCATGCACCGTGAACACAGATGTTCAGAATCCCTTTACAATCAAGGTGCCAAATATCTGAAAGTCACTCCCCAGCTCTATCAAAACTTGCCTTCTGGGATCTGGAGACAAAATAAGGATTTTTGACCACTGCTGATTACTTCTGGAGCTGCCTGAGGCTGGCCATAGACTTGAAACATAGTTTTCACTAAGATCCAAACCTTAGCTCATCTTTAATTTGTTTGGGACTCCTAAGGGGTCAGGAAAATACTAGGGAGGTTGAAAAAGTATAGCAAGTGCTTGTCAGACCCAGTTTTGTGGCAAACGGGGGCCACCACTAATTTTCTGTGATGGCTTCTCCACAGGACTTGCTCAAACACAAACAAGGGAACCTCACACTGCTGAGAACAGGTCACGGTCTGACAACACAAACCTGTAGACACCAAAAGTTCCAGATTGGCATTCTGGTCCATGCTTGGCTCATCCCTTCCTGCTGTGGACATCAGGACAGAGGACTGAAAACACGCAGCCTAGCCATTCTGTCCCAAATTAAAGCAGCTCACAGGCCTCTGGCCTATCCTCCAACCATGACGGGAGGATCACCCAACATTTATAGGGCCTCCCTTTCTATCTGTTCCCACGTCCACAGGGCAGGAGGTGGACCCAAACACTTTTGGCAAGAGACGGGCTGCCACCAAGGATCCTGAGCAAATTATTAGCCAAAGCATTTAGATTAGCATACAGATGGGGAAAATGCTGCCCAAAAAAAAGACGGAATTTCCAAAAGGTAAATTTCTGTGTATTCACGCCTAATCTTCAAAGTTGTGTAAACATTTTTTTTCTACCTTCCCCCATCATTTGCACAATTTTTGTCAAGTCCAAACGTAATTTGAAGTGAGGTAGGTAGTTTCTCTCTACTTGTGCCTTCATCTTTGTGGTGACTGTCCAGGCCTGCGCCATGAAAGCACTAGTGTCCCGTGCAGGGGGCGTCACGGGCGGGAACCGGTGACCGGTGGGGATTCTCAGTTGGCTATTTTCTCAATCTCGTCCAAGTCATCTGTGTCCAATCTTTCTATTTTCTTATCTGAGGAAAAAAAGATGAGAGATCAGCACAGGCTTATGGAGGAGAAGCCGCCTAGAGGAGGGGCAGCAGAGCAGGCAGAGAGGACACGCTGGTCTGTGACCCCAGCCCGTCTGCATTTACCCCAAGGCTGCAAAGCCTGACCTGGGGCTCCTGCCAGCAACAGTCAGAGCTCCTGGCCCCTCAGAGCAGCTGGCCCAGGGGAGCTGTCTTTCCAGCCCTGGCCCTGAACTCTCTAGGTGTGCTCTGGGAGGCCTTTCCTCTCATAGCGGGGAGGGGAGCGTGAGCAAGGACAAAGGCTCCCTCAGGAAAAGAAAACCCCCCTTCTGCCCACACAACTAGACAACCCCTGTGCGGAAAGGGACTCACTGAAATGCTCCTGGATTCTGTTGAGAATGTTCATGCTGTGCTTGCTGTCCACCATGTTCACGGCCAGGCCCCTCTTGCCAAAGCGGCCAGTGCGCCCGATGCGGTGCAGGTAGGTCTCGTTATCCGGGTTCCCATCCTTGTCCACGGGGAGGTCAAAGTTGATGACGACAGACACCTGCTCCACGTCGATACCTGCATGGAGGAGAGTTGCTGAGGACTGAGCACGGCAAACAAAGTCACAGCCGCCACTGCCAGACCACCACACCTGCTTTGAGCCTGAGACTGGCCAGATCTGGGGACAAGTTGACTAGCAGAACCCAGAGGAACAAAGCAGAACTTTGGCAAATGCTAACAAAATTAGGGAGAGAGCCTGTGCTAGATACAGCCATCTGGAGAGGCAGCTGAAACCTCACCAGATGTCCTAGGAAGACCCAGTGCCATTCCAAACCTATCAGGAGCCAAGAGGTTTCCTTCTAGCAGGTCAAGAGTCCTGGCCTCGGGGAAAGTTACCGCCTGCTGAGGGATCCAATCTGTCCTGGAGAAGAAGCGGCTCCCTACCTCCCCACCCCATCTCCCCAAAGCACCTGAGTCCTGGTGCAGGAGGACTGCTCCTGCTACCCCAGCCCAGCAGGCCAGGACACACTCTTTGCTCACCTCGGGCACACACGTTGGTGGTCACCAGAACCTTCTCTTTGCCCTCTCGGAAGCGCTCGATCACCGCAGCCCTCTGCTCCACCATCATTTCACCGCTCAGCAGAGCCACCTGGTGGCCTTCTTTTGAGAGCTCTGCTGCCAACCAACTAGCTGTTTTGCGGGTCTGGAGTGAAAAGAATTGTTTTAGATGAAGACACCTGTAAGAAACAAAAAATGAAGACACCTGCACAAAAGCGGCTTGTCGCCATTAGAAACATGAAAGCGGGGCCTCCCTGGTGGCACAGGGGTTAAGGACAGCGCTATCAAGTTATCCTCAGCCACTGCAGCACTGAGTTCGATCCCCAGCCAGGGAGGTCACCCAAATGGCGCAACAGACCTCTCCTGTCTCACCCGCTGCTCCCCTCAGTAGTGTATTTCAGTCAATCCACCTGTTCTCTTCCCCACTCTGTCTCTTGTGAGTTCTCTTATCCACACACCTCTGCCCTGTACCCTAGTTCTTGTATGCATAAATAAATATATCTTCAAAAAAAGAAAAAGAAAGCAAGCCCCGCTGAGTTCAGTCAGCAGGTTAGGCCTATAATTTCTCAAACAGAATTTTAGCCACTTTTCACTGGCTGCTATCTGAAGTTTCTCCTAGTGTGTCTAAGTAATGGGGTCAAAGGAGGTTGGGTTCTTCATGGTCCGCCCTGATAACATAGCTGGGGAGCATATGCCTGGGGTAAGTGGAGGTGATTCACCATTTCCTTTGTGCCACCTGGTCCTGCTCAGTACTGTGTTTGTGGTGGGACTGGCTGAGAGGCAGGGGTGGGGCCAGCACTCCCCAGGGGGGTCTCCGTCCCCACAGGCCTCAGCAGCTGCTCTACTCACGTGGCAGAAGATCATGGCTTGAGCGATGGTGATGGCCCCATAGAGGTTACACAAGGCCTGGAACTTCTCATCTCTGTTATTGCACAGGACGTAGTACTGCTTGATGGTGTCCAGCGTCTCCTCCTCGCGCTTCAGTTTGATGATGTTTGGTTCTGGGACCACTTTCTGGGCAAATTTCCACACAGAATCTTCAAAGGTGGCAGAGAAAAGCAGCATCTGGCAGTTCCGGGGCAACATCCTGCAAGGGAAGCCCAGGTTATCAGGCATGACCCTCAGTTTTCAATGGAAGGTGAAGAGCCACAGGTCCCCCTTCCCCCACCCCTTAAGGAGTGGATGGCAGGCATCCCCAAGGAGGTGGCAAAGTGGAGGAGGAACACTGCAGGGCCTGGGGAGGAGCAGACACCGGGGCACAGGGGAGGGTGGTATTGGATTCCCTGTCTCCTTCCTCAAGCCAGCCCACCAAGCAGATGCCTCTGAAGGTTCAGGAGGAATGCACCAGCCGGAGCAAGGAGATGGGTTGGATGTAGTGGGAAGAGACACAGGGAACAAGGTTTTACATGGCATCAGGAGGCTGAGAAGTCCTTTCTGGCTCAAGAGTTCCCACCTCTGGATGCGGATGCTCTGATCTTGGTGTCCCTGGGTAGCTATCATCACGTCAGCCTCATCCAGAACAAACACCTTGATCTTCTTGGGGTCAATGAACTTGAGCTTGGAGCACCAGTCCAGGACGGTCCCAGGGGTGCCAATGACAATCTGCTCACTGATCTTCTGACCTCTTTCCACTGTGGAGACAAGATGTTTTCTGTGGGTATTACATAGCAAAGCCAATTCTCTGAGAAATTCTAAAGGTGATATATTATAATGCAGTTGTTTTCAATGAATATTTTAAGGAAGAGTTAGGAAAACAATTTAATGGACAAAGACCAAGTCTGAAAAACAGATACAAAAATGAGAAGATAACACCTACAGTGTCATTCTTTGTCATTTATAATTATCAAATTCTCTGTCAAGGATCAGTTTGTTTTGTCAACATCATTCACCCAGTCCCAGATTTCCTCAAAAACAAACTTTTTCAAAGTTCACTCTTCAGTGCACTGAGCCCCTCTGCTATTTCAGCATTTACATCAAACAGATCAATTCCTTTCATCCCTCTTTCCCAGGTCAGTAAGTAGATTCCATTATGAAAGGCCAGGTTTTCTAAAAGAAACACAATCTGCCTCTCATAGATAAAGTCCTTCCCCAGATCGGGCATGGTCAGCCATGGTGCATGGCTGGCCCTGCAGTCTGTAAGTGAGAAGCACTTGGCTCCTCATTTTTAATTTGATGGTACTTATTGATTCCATTTTCAATCCCCCTTTTTTTTTAAGATTTATTTATGCATACAGGAACTGGGGTACGGCCAGATGTGCAAGAGGGTGAGAGGATTCACCAGAGAAAGAATGGGAAACAGAACAGGCAGATTGACTGAAATACACAGCTGAGGGGAGCAGTGGGTGAGTCAGGAGAGGCCTGCGCCATGTGGCCTGCTTCCTGGCCAGGGATTGAACTTGTGCTGCAGTGGCTGCTGGTGGCTTCATAGGTTGCGTCTTAACCCCTTGCGCCATCAGGGAGGCCCCCCCATTTTCAATCCTTTAATTACAACTTTGACCAGACACATACAGGCTTTCCCTAGTCATAACCAGAATTCTAAATATGAATACTTAAGTTAATTTGAAATTTAACAAAAGCTACTTACTTCAGTTAAACAAACCATTTAAATAAATTATTCAGAATCCTCTTTTTTTTTTTTTAATCTTCAAGGTATGCTTTTTTTTTAAAAAAAGCTTTATTTATACAAGAACTGGAGTATAGTCAGAGGCACAGGAGGGTGAGAGAATTCACCAGAGACAGAGCGGGGAGCAGAACAGGCAGATGACCGAAGATACTGCTGAGGGGAGCAGCGGATGAGGCAGGAGAGGTCTGCTATACCATGTGGGTTTCTCCCTGGCCGGCCAGGAATCGAACCCGCTCTGTAGAGGCTGTAGACAGCTTCATAGCGTGGCGTTCAACCCACTACGCCACTGGGGAGGCCCGTCCTCTGTCATTCTAATTCAAATCCAAATAGCAAATGCTAAGTACCGTATGAGCACCTTCTACAAAGTTTTATTATCATATTTACTTTTTTTTTTTAAAAGATATATTTATTTATTTATTTATATAAGCACTGGGTACAGTCAGAGGCACGGGAGGGTGAGAGAATTCACCAGAGTCAGAGGGGAGAGCAGAGCAGGCAGATTGACGAAGTACACTGCTGAAGGGAGCAGTGGGCGGCAGGGGAGGTCTGCACGCCATGTGACCCTCACCCGGTGGCAGGGGAGCAGCAGGGGATCGAACTGGCACTGCAGAGGCTGCGGGCAGCTTTGCAACCCAGCGCTCAACCGCTATGCCACCAGGGAGGCCCTATCATATTTACTTTTGTCTTCATAATTGACTTTAAGTTGGCTTTAGGACATTGTATGCAGAGTAGATTTCTGCATGTCTCAAAGTCATAGGTTTGTGTTAAACGAGTTCACCAAATTTGCAACAATTTTTAAAATTACTCAGATACTGTTAGCTCATTATAAAAGTAGAAAATATGAATAGAGAAAAAAGAATAAAAGTCCCCTGAATTAATTGCCATGAACATTCTAGGTGTTCTGATGATGTTAAAAAAAACTAGGCAGTTAAACAATTTGAAACTGTGCCACATCTTATAAACTATTCGTGTGGTGTGTTCAAAAAGTCTAATGTAATGAGGGAAAGAAAGGAGACTATTTTACATCAAAAGAACTTTAAAGAGATGTAATAATCAAAAGCAATGCATAAAAACTGATTCAATCTTGGTTTGAAAATGATGCTCACAAAGAAATTTTTTTTTTAAGATTGATTTATTTAAAGAACTGGGGTACAGGCCATAGTTACAGGGGGTGAGAGGATTCACCAGAGACAGAATGGGGAGCAGAACAGGCAGACTGACTGAAATACACTGCTGAGGGGACCAGCGGGCAAGACAGGAGAGGTCTGCTGCACCATGTGGGTAGCTCCCTCACTGGCTGGGGATCAAACTCGTGCTGCACTGACTGCTGATAGCTTCATTGTGCTGAGACTTAACCCCTTGCCCCACCAGGGAGGCCCTCACAAAGAAACCTTTTTGGGACAACTGGAGGAAAATGACAATGGAGTAGATATATAAGTTTTAGAAACTCTGTTAATTCTTGGTTTTGATAAGGATATTGTGAGTAATGCTGAAAATTATTAGGAGATGCACACTAAAGTATTTAGGAACAAAAAGCCATAATGCCTGCAATTTACTTTCAAATGATCACCATTTCAAATGATCACCAAAAAAGTACACACACAATGGAATACTACTGAGCTGTAATGGAAGATAAAATTTTGCAATTTGCAGCAAAATGGAAGGAAAACAGGAGGATTATACTAAGGAAAATAAATGAGGAGAAAAGCCATTGGTTTGTGACTATCAGAGAAATTCGCCTGTAGGTGAAGTATAAAGGAGCAGCAAATGAACAAATAAAATAATAAACTAGTGGACTTTGACAGTAGAACCAAGGTTACCATAGAAGAAGAGGATGAAGAGTCAGAACAAAGGCAAGGGATTTCATTAATAGTGGTTTACTTTTAATTATTTAATAAAAAGAAAAAATATATTTACAAACACATATAAACGAAGTGTGAGGAAAGATTAAGTTTGTAAATCAAGGTGGAGGAAACGTGTTCACTGTATTTACTACATGTGTTTCGAAAATTTTCAAAATAAAAAGTAGTTTAATGTATTGGGATTCCTATTCATACTCACATTTATTGCCTCGAACAGCATAAGCCAGCTTCAATTCAGGGTAAAATTTGCCCATCTGCTCAATCACTTTTCCTGTCTGAAGGGCGAGCTCATAGGTTGGGGAGAGGCACAAACACTGTACAGAAAGAGTGCAGAAGGGAAGTTCAAGACAGTGGGTCTTCTGTGATGAGGAAATACTATTAGGACTTAGTTATTCCTCCAGGCGAGGCTGAGGAAGAATGTATATTAAAAGTCACACTATTTGATTCCTTAAATTCCAACATCGTAAGTTGCAATTCTTAGGGGGTCAGAACTCTGGCTGGGAAAAGACACTTGAAAGCAGCCACTGGAGTTCCAGACCCACATATCAGCAACAATCTGAAATTCCAATTAGAGATTAGCTTCCTTTTCACTTACTCAAAGTTCTTAGAACTCTCAAATCCATCCATTAGATTCTTATTTGTAGATGGAGGTTCTTTCTGCACATAAAAGAACCAAACCTTAACTGGCAAACTATGGAAAGGGGAATGAGATTTTTGTTGCCTAATGGGAGATCAGCTGTGTCATTTGTATTCAATGTATGGGGTTATAGTTTAGGTAAAAAGTAATACCTTGGCTTTTAATTCATTAAATGGATTTATTATTCCACTTAGAAAATGGGATTTTCCCTTCTAGTTACATGTTAACAGAGAACCCATATTCACCAAGCTCTTACCTGGGGGTATCTGTTTGCAGGTTCTACTTGACTGAGCATGGCCAACACAAAGGCTGCTGTTTTGCCAGTACCAGACTGAGACTGGGCTATCAGGTTCTGTGGGCTGCACAAGAAAACAAACTGAACTTAAATCTCAAGTATCCTTCCACTTAATAAAAATATAGTAAAGTTTAGTTAAAGAATGAGAATTCTAATATAACTTACAGGAAGACTCGGAGTCTGTAGCAATTACAAATGCTAGCATCACAAATACAGAGCAGTCAATGATCCTGTGTCACTTGTCTGCTCAAAAATCTTCTAAGCACTCCCTACTTCATTCAAAATAAAAGTTAAAATCCTTCTACTGCCCTACAAGATTCTACTGATTTTGTTCCCTGATGCTGAGGGGTCAAAGTCTTAGTACTATCAAGTTAGCACCAGTCACTGCAGCATGAGTTTGATCCCCGGCCAGGGAGCTGACCCACATGGCACAGCAGACCTCTCTTGCCTCGCCCACAGTTCCCCTCAGCAGTGTATTTCAGTCAACCTGCCTGTTCTGCTCCCCACTCTGTCTCTGGTGAATCTTCTCACCCCCCCACCCTGCATCTCTGGCCTGTACCCCAGTTCTTGTGTGCATAAATAAATAAATCTTAAAAAAAAAAATTAAGGTGAACCTCAGTTCCCAGCTCAGCCCTACTGCAATCAGACTGCATTTTAATGAATTCCGGTGAGACTCATGTGCCTATGAAAGTGAGAAGCACTACACCATAAAATAACTTTAGTGACCGTACTATTCTGGTCTCATAGACCAAAAATCTATTCATTTTTTGCCTACATATTTAACATGATAAGTTTTATATATCCATATCGTGAAATAGTGTATATGAGCAATAAATATATATTTACTCAACATAGATGATCATACAATTAAGTTTTAAAAAAGCATTTAAACATTCTCTATGGTTCCATTTTTTTTTTGAAAAAGTATACAGATGTAAGTCTGTATCCAAATATGAATAGTGTGATGAAGGGAGATTTAATGAGATTTGTTTATTTTTCATTATTGTCTGACTTATAAAATGAGCATGTATTATTAGTGTAGTTTTTTTAATAATAAAAGTTAAAGAAATAGAAAAATAAAAATGGGGTAGGGTTATGTCAGGACACATACGGCTCAGCAAGCATCAAAGGCAAGGCATTCTCTTGTATCTTGGATGGACGGTTGAAGCCCATGGCATAGACTCCCTGGAGAAGCTGTGGTTTCCTAGAAAAACAGCAGATGAAGTCACAGTTTCTTTGGTTGAGGAAAGAGCCAATTATTTAAAAGCTTTTTTCTCTTTTTTATTGCTGTTACAGAATTAATAAATTTAATATTTGAATTGTGCTACACCATTTATAAAAACCATTTATTTAAAAAAATCATTTTTATAATGACCTAGAGATTTTACTGAACAGTCCAAAACAGCTAAATTCTTTTACTAAACTTGTGTTAAGTAAAAAATGCACTGCTATGATGAAAAAATTATATACAACAGGACCATTAAACACAAAAGGGAGAGCAGAAAATAATTTAACACTCACAGCCGAAGCTCCTCAAAGGACTTCACTGAGTAGAGGGGGGAGTTTGGGTCCCGCTGCAGGACTTCCACTTGGTTTGTGTTATCGACAAGGTTGCTTCTGATCAGCTTGTTGAGTAAGGACTGGGCGGCTCTGTCCTCTGGCAGGAAAAAAAAAGCAATGTTTAAAAGTCTATGGAATACACCTTGAGCACATCTGAATTTAATTGCTACTGGTATTTTAATCAGTAACATGCATTTGTACTGGGTCATCTAATTCAAGGCATATTAAAGTTTTGATTTAGAAATACTAAGGTAGTTTGTTTTATTAAAAAGAATGGTAATGAGGGCCTCCCCTGGTGGTGCAGGCGGTTGAGCGCAGTGCTGTGAAGCTGTCCTCAGCCTCTGCAGCGCTGGTTCGATCCCAGCTGTCCGGTGAGTGTCCCACATGGCGTGGCAGACCTCTCCTGCCTCATCTCCTCAGCAGTGTATTTTGTCAGTCTGCCTGTTCTGTTCCCCGCTCTGTCTCTGGTGAATCCTCTCACCCTCCCACGCATCTGGCATGTACCTCGGTTCTTGTATAAATAAATAAATAAATCTTTAAAAAAAAAAAAAAAAGGTAATGATAGTCATATTCTAATCCAGAATTCTATGGTATGAGGTCTCTTTTCCTGAGGTTATCTGTTCCTCTTACCTAGACCCAAATTTTTACTCCCCAAATTGCACTCAGTATGTTAATATTTAATACTTAATGTTATTTTAGCTTAACAAATTACAATGAAAGCAACAGAAAGTAACAAAGCCTGTATCTTGATACTGTTTTGTTTTTTCAAGATTTATTTATTTATGTATACAGGAGCTGGGGTACAGGCCAGAGGTGTGGGGGTTGGGGAGGTTGAGAGGATTCACCAAAGACAGAGTGGGAATAGAACAGGCAGATTGAGCAGTGCGAGACAGGAGAGGTCTGCTGCGCCATGTGGGTTGCTCTCTGGCCGGCCAGGGATCGAACTCATGCTGCAGAGTCTGCATATTGCTTCATAGTGCTGTGCTTAACCCCATGCACCACCAGGGAGGCCCCCGTAGCTTGATATTGTATAAGCTGTTTGTATCTTTTTATCCATGTTAAAATACTAAGTTTAATTTTTTTAGACAAAGAGAATACAATGTAAAATTTCTTTCATAACGCCCCATACAAAATAACCATTCAGGGAATATATTTCATGTTGCTCCTGAAGTTCATCAGTTTGTGTTTTTTGTTATTTTTTTTTTTTTCACAAAGAAGAACTGGGTTGTAGGCTAGAGTTTCAGGTGGGGGATAGGGGGGTAGGGGAGAGAATTCACCAGAGACAGGGTAGGGAGCAGAACAGGTTTATTTACTGAGATACACTTCGAAGGGGACAGTGGGTGAGACGAGAGGTCTGCTGCAACATACGTGGGTTAGCTCCTGTGCTGGGGATCAAACTCTGGCTCTAGTGGTGACAGCACTGAGACTTAACCCCTAAGCCACCAGGGAGGCCCTCATCAGTTGTTTTAAGTAAAATTTCTCTGAAATGTGAATCATTAGAATTCCTTCACCAATGATTCTATTGACCTGTTATTAAACCACTGTGACTCCCATTAAAGTTGGGGGTAAAAATGAAGGCTTTAACAATCCCTTTTCTCTGAATGTAGACCCTTGTGTATAAAGCTCTAAGGTTGGGTTACCTTTCTCTTCTTCATCTGTCTTCTCTGCATTAGCATTGCTCTTGACAACAGCACCTTTATCAGACACAAAGTGGCCGTCATTCAAAATCATATCCCATACCCAAACTGAGACAATTCAAATTCTATGAGACACTAGAAATGTAAAGGTCTGGGGAGCAAAAAAAACTAAATGAGGTGAACAAGCCACAGATAAAAAGCATTTAAGTCTTCCTAAATAAAGATATGAAACACTATTGCTTATATTTCAATCATTTCCTATTTAAAATCCTCTCATTGTTCCTCAAAAAAGGAATGCTAATTTTTGTCACAGGATGAATATTTCTGCAATGTTATAGAAAGATGATTATAGCAGTCAATGACTAGAAATCATGTTTATGTTCAACAGAGGAATATCTATGCAAATTGTATTTCATCATGCATGAACACAGTGACACTGAGATTCCATGTATATGAATTGTTATTAGAAATGTACAAATACTGTAGCAATGTAAAAATATCCAGAAAAAGATTTGTGAATTCAAAGTGAGGTAAATGTTACAATTTCTCCCTACAGTAATTTCCTTTAAAATGTTTTTGATTAATTTAACATTGATTTACAACACTGTAAATGATTTAGAGGTGTTAGATCATAACCTTCAGATTTATGTTACCATGCCACACCTAACACCAATGCACCCAGAGTCCTGGTGTCATAGTCCCATATTCTACATATAAGTAACACCATCCCAAATTTGTCTTTCTCTGATTTATTTTGCTTAGCATGCCCCCTATAATAACAAACACATCAACAAAAATTTAATGAAAACCTTAGCTTTTGGCAGACATGGTTTCAGAATAATTAGATTAGCTCTCAGGTTGTTCATTTGTCTATCTCAAATGAGTGGTATTCGAAAAAGTAAAAAATCTTTGGCAGTATGTCCTCATGGTTAATAATAAGTTGAAGAATTTATAAGCCAATTAGGTATCCTCATGCTTATATTAAGGACAATATAAAACAAAACAATCCAGCTCATTGATTCCCAGGTCAAATGACAGCTAGCATCTGCCAGCCCCCTATCTGATATATGTGGTTTTTTCTCTGACAATTATTAGGTTAAAACAGAAATACTAAAGGAAATCACATTTGCTTTCATATTAGCATTTAGTTACTCACCATTGGCATCTGGTTTGATTTTCTCTTCCTTAAGATGCAAGTTGCTCAACTAAATGGAGAATATGGGGAGGAGGGGCAGAGTGTCAGGAAAATCACTTAAAAGACTGTGAATCAACAGAGGCTCCCCATTGAATCTGGAGAGAAATATGCCACTCTCAAGACCTATTCATTAGGTATATTCAATAGAACTTATTCATTAGGTGGGTCTGCTAGACTCGTTTGTTTAGTAAATGTTTGAGAATAAGAAAAATTTCCCATAAAGAGCAATAGGAAAAAACCAATTACACAGCTCTGGAGAGAATTGTAATTTGTGAGTTTGCTTAATGCCCTGATTACAAAGACTCTCAGTAGAACACCACTTAAGCTGTCATCCTCTCATATTCCAAACAAGAGGAAATTTAAAGAGACATTGGAAAATGCAGTGATTACTTCAGATAGAAGATGAAGGTGAGAGGACTGCAATGAAGAGCATCTGTATGTAGGGAATCAGTTCTGTTGCAGGACTTGGGTGAGCCACAGGACCACAGCCTTCAAACATGCAGCCTTGAACTCAGCTCGCCTGGAGCTGATGTCTGATATTTTGTTTTTATTTTTTATTTACTTATGCATACAAGAGCTGGGGTGTAGGCCAGAGGTGTGGGATGATGAGAGGATTCACCAGAGACAGAGCAGGGAAAAGAACAGGCAGATTGATTGAAGTACACTGCTGAGGGGAGCAGTGGGTGAGACAGGAGAGGTCTGCTGCACCATGTGGATAGCTCCCTGGCAGGCCGGCCAGGGATCGAACTCCTGCTGCAGAGGCTGCGGATAGCTTCACAGTGCTATGCTTGACCCCTTGTGCCACCAGGGAGGCCCCAAATAAATAAATCTTCAAAACAAAACAAAACACTAACTACTTAAGAAAGGATTCTTGAGAAATAAAGACGATTTAGTGGTAAACTATACTGAATAGGAATTGTCTTTGGCAAAATGGCAAATTAGATTTAAAATCTTATTCATCAGTTTTCTAATCTCTTTGTCTTCCTCTAAATTGAAAAGAAATTTCTGATGGAATTAAGAGGAGCCACTGGGAATGATGAAAGAAATTAAGAAATGAAGCTTAATGAATATTTTAAAATACACTAAAGCTTGCACTGTACCCATCACAGTAACATGTCATGCAGTGCCCGTGGGGATCTTGAGTGGAAATTCCCCCAGGTAGAGGTGTAAGAGGTGTCTTTATTCAGTTAGATACTGGGATCAATTGTTTGGTATAGATACTGGGATCAGTTCTTTACTGATGCATGGTTAAGCAGATTCACAAATCTTATCCATGTTCAACTAACTATCCCTATAATATTGCCAGGTAATTTAAGATTGCTGAAAAAAATCTGTGTTTTAGATAATAATAATAATAATAATAGCTACCACTTACATAGCTCCTATATCAGGCATATCATAACTCAATGAGGTAGGTCCTATGGTTATCCTCATTTTACAGATGTGGAGACGGAGACACAGAAAAGCTAAGCAGTTTGCCCAAGGTCACATAACCAGTAAGTGATGAACCCAGAATACAAACCCAAGTCTGTCTGGCTACAGTCTTGAGGTCTTAACCTCTACACAGTAGTGTCTCCCACAGATAATGCTAATCTTGAAGAAAATACTAATTTATTTTTTTTTTAGATTTATTTTATTTATTTATGCATACAAGCTCTGGGTACAGTCAGAAGCGCGGGAGGGTGAGAGAATTCACCAGAGCCAGAGCGGGGAGCAGAGCAGGCAGAAGGACCGAAGTACACTGCTGAGGGGAGCAGCGGGCGGCAGGAGAGGTCTGCGCGCCATGTGGGACCCTCCTCTGGTGGCCGGGGAGCAGCCGGGGATTGAACCAGCGCAGCAGAGGCCTCAGGCAGCTTCACAACCCAGCGTTCAAAAGCTGCGCCACCAGGGAGGCCCTCTTAACAAAACTTTTATACAAATTAGTAGGTTAAGAGAATGACAATCAAATCTAACCTGACCAGAAGTCAGCCAAAATATTCAAAACTACTTGAGGGGCCTCCCTTGTGGCACAAGGGGCTAAGCCTCAGCCTATGAAGCTATTGGAAGCCACTGCAGCATGAGTTTGATCTCTGGCCAGGGAGCTAACCTACCTGGCGCAGCAGACCTCTCCTGTCTCGCCCACTGTTCCCCTCAGCAGTGTATTTCAGTCAATCTGCCTGTTCTGCGCCCCTACTCTGTCTCTGGTGAATCCTCTCACCAACCCCTCTACCACCACCCCCACACCTCTGGCCTGCACCCCAGCTCTTGTATGCATAAATAAATTTTAAAAAACCTATTTGAAATACATATTTACACCTACAATGGCTAAGATATGATAGGGTTTCTCTCCCCACCCCCAGTTTATATTGTACCTTAAGAGATTAAAGAAAATATGAAGTCAGCACAGGAAAACATTATTTCATCTTTCTCTCAGTCATTATTAACTTTTGTGTATGTTATATGATGCACATATTTTGTAAAATAATACAATGTGCAATTTCTTTTTTTTTTTTTAAATATTAAATTTTATTTTTATATTCCCCCATACAATTGCAAACGCCCCATTCTGACCCCAATCCTTCCCCTCCCGCCCCCCACCCCCCAAAAAGTGTCTCTGGTTCATAGTTTTTTGTTGATTTTGATTTTCACTTTCTTATATTCATTTTCCTGGTCCCTTATTTAAGTTTTCTAGATTCCTGCTATGAGTGAGACCATACAATGTGCAATTTCTAAATAGTTATATATAGACAGTGTATATATGTAAAAATTTCTTTCTGACAGAGCCAAGTAATGGAAAAACAGACTACAGCTTATTTACTAGATTACAAGTCAATTAACAGTGCCTGCTAGGCTAGGCATGAGAAATACCAAGATAGATAAACTAAGGGCCACAGTAGAGGGAGGGTGCCATGATGAAATGGAAGCATTAAGTGCTAAGACCTCTGCCCTTCTGGAGGTCTCCCACTCAGGTCCCTGAACACTGACTCAGACTTCCAACCTCCAGGCAGGAAATCTGAGAATGCCTCTGCAAAATCTGCCTAGTCCAGAAGGAAACTTCTCAGGACATTGAAGAGTTAGGGGGTTAAAGTCAGAATTGACAAGCCCCACTCACATGTTTACAGCTGCCATTTAATTTCTTAGTCATCCACTCTTAAGTATTAGTAGACAATTAAATCTGACAAATTTTCATCATGAAAAAATAGACACTGAAATAGATAAAAGTACCTTACAGGAAAGAGAGCCTATGTAGAGGGGGAAAAAAAGTCACTATCAATAACCTTAAAATAATAAGAGGATATTACAGCCATGAAAGCAGCACTGGATGTTGTTTGTAAAAAAAAAAAAAAAAAAAAAAAAAAAAGGAAAAGGGGAAGGGGAGTTATTCTTGAAATTAAAAAATTGTAGAAATAAAAAACGAAATGTTAGAAGGTAGCTGGGAAAATCTCCCAGGAAATATGGCAAAAGACCAAGCCAGAAAATATCAGAAAAAAAAAAAAAAAAAAAAAAAAAGTTAAAGGATGCTTTTCAATAAATGGTGCAGAAAATTATAGCTCCATTATTTGCAATAGGTGAGGTAGGGAAACAACCCAAATGTCAAAAAAGAGGTGACTGGATCAAGAAGATGTGGTATATATACACATTGGATATTACTGAGCAGTCAAAAACGATAAACTCATGCCATTCACAACAACACTGTTGTATCCACAATACCACACTGATAAACGGGAGTCATGGAGCAGACTGCACAATGCAGGATGCTGCTGAACAAGCAAAATCCTGGCCTTTTTATCATAGAGTTACGTGGAGTAGGAGGATAAGGAGAAAAAGATAGGTGAAACTAAAGAATGTGTTTTTGTCATCTAGGGTGTCAGAGGGACATGAGTCGGCTGACCAGATAATTCTTATCTGCTTGACGACCAGGTGTTGTAATTGAAACCATAACCCAGACCCCTGGCCATCAACAAGGCATTCCACTGATCAGCTTCTGGGGTCCCTTGCCATACACTGGTCCTCAGCACCCTGGGCATTTCCAGTCATACCTCTTGAAGCATACCCTTCCCAGGGTGATCAAGCTTTCTGCTCTTGATTGATCTGAAAGGCACCTTGTAAGGTTTGGCTCCTATGACTGAGTGACCAGGCAGTTCTGACCTTTGTATAGGAATGCAGAACTGCAGGTAACAATAATGGTGGCCAAACAGGCTGCTTAAGTCTAGCAGCCTGGAGCTGGAAGGGATTATGCTCAGTGAAATAAACCAGAAAGAAAAAGAAAACTATCGTATGTGTAATGTAGGGGAACCAAATAAGGGATCAGGGGGAAAAATTACAATAAATTAAAAAACAAAATTAACAGGCAACTCTACAGGGGAAGAGGAGGGAGAGAGATCAAAACAGGAGCAGAGGGGCCTCCCTGGTGGTGCGAGAGGTTAAGTGTCAGCACTATGAAACAATCTGCAGCTACTGCAGCAAACGACCCCAGCCAGGGAGGTGACCCACATAGTGCAGTGGAGAGAACAAGGGACTATAGTGATGGTGTATGGGTGAATTGGTGATGGGAATTATACGGGGACTACACCTGAGAGGAGAAAGCATACTTTGTACAAAAAGGAAGAATGATATAAGATATGTATATATATAAAATAAATAAAAAAAGAGGGAAAAATTATAGCTCCATATGTGGGGGAAAACCCAACAACCTGAATATTTTTATTATATTCAAAAACCCTTACACGGCCTCCCCTGGTGGCGCAGCGGTTGAGTGCTGGGCTGCGAAGCTGCCCGCAGCCTCTGCAGTGCCGGTTCAATCCCCGACCCCGACCGCCAGGCAAGGGTCCCACATGGCGCGCAGACCTCTCCCGCCGCCTGCTGCTCCTCTCAGCAGTGTATTTCATCAGTCTGCCTGTTCTGTTCCCCGCTCTGGCTCTGGTGAATTCTCTCACCCTCCCGCACTTCTGACTGTACCCAGTGCTTGTATAAATAAATAAAAATAAATCTTTAAAAAAAAAAAGACTTGGAAGAAATGGAATTGAGAGGTAACTTACACACCTAAACACCCTGAGATAAAGACAGACAATTAGCAAAGAGCCTGGGGTTGAATTGGTGATAAGTACAAAGAATATCGGCAACTATAAATTCCAAGGATTAAGAAAAAGTTTCATAGGGAAGTACAGGTATTCATGACTTGATACTATATGAACCTAGGAATAGTCATCTAAGGAAAATTACAATATATAATCAAATATATATAATGAAAATGAGTATGTAAATATATACACACACACACATATATATAATGAAAAGCTGGGGGATGGGAAGGTGTACATATAGGGCAAGGAAAGGAGAATGGAGGAAAGAGTCAAAAATTAATGTATACCTAAAAGGAAAAACTCAAGAAGTAGCATGCTATTTAGGGACCCAGGAGGTCAACATTGTAAATCAGTTTGAAGAGACACAGTAGTCGTCTCTGGGAAGAAAAAACCTGATGGGAACAAAATTATTTGCACTTTAAAACTGTACTGTATAACATTTTTAATCAGTTCTAAGAAATAAAACAAAGTTCTTTTCTGGGAGAATTTACAGAAGTAGGTTCAAAGCACTATCAGAACTAAAGAGTGATTGGTTAGGTGAAATTAATTCTACATAGTAGCGTTTAACACCTATCTTGCTTACTGTGTGTCTGGCCTAGAACAAAGTTGAGCGTCTCAGGAGCGGATTTCCTGATTGTCAAGTCTACTGAATGGGTCATTCAGCAACACTGAGCAGGCTGGGAAAGTGCACCAAGAAGAGTAAGTCCTCGTCCCTGAGCCCAAGAAGCTAGAACCCGGAGGTGGGGAATGACACCTACAACGATGATCACAATCTGGGGGAGTGAAAGTGAGAGCAATCTATGCATCAATCCTCATTCCGGAAACACAAGCACGAGGCTGGGCTCTGTATCCAGAGAAGCACTCACCTGCGCTTACGTAATCCGGAGGCGGGTGGGTAAACAAAGCCAGCTTTGGGTCCAAGTTCGGTGCCCACCCGCCCCCTCTCCCGGGCCTCACCAACCTGGGCAGTATCCTTCACCGGGAACTGACACCGGCCCACGCTGGCTCCCTGGCCCTTTTACGGCTGAAGCCAACTCACCGACTCGGCCGCCGCTTCCTGCTCGTCCACCGCCAGGGCCCAAGAGTCGGTGGCCATGGTCCCGGGCGCGGGTGGGGCACTGGTGCTGGGGGACACGCCGGCTCGCGCGGCGCGATCGTGGGTGCTCGGGGTCCCCGGCGAGCCCCGCTCCCGCCCCACAGAGGGGGAAGTCATCGGTTCCGGCGCTAGGGACCGGAAGCGGCGCGCCGCAGTGACGTCGGTGTGCGCGCCTGGCTGGGCACCTCGCTAGCCTCGGATTGTTGCTTAGGTCGCCTTCGGACCCTCATCATGCACCCTTGCTTTAGCTCGGGCTTTCTTATCCAACGTCCAGAACCGCAGACCCTGCGGTAGTTTGGTTACTGCTCCTGTCAACTGGTTGTCCGAGCAAAGAGCTAAAGCACATTCCCGCGCTGGACAGTGACACAAAAGACGCCCATATAGATTGAATGTATCAAAACACAAAGCTAGTACAATCACCAAAGTGCGTATTGGGCTGGTGAAGATTTCCCTTTCCATGTGTGTACACTTTGTCTTCTGAAGTGGGTTTCAAATTGTATTTCATACAAATGATAAAGGCCAATAATATAACAAACATCTGCGAAATTTAAGAAAGTCAATAGGATTCAATTGGAAGTCGCTGCACAGTAATCCCAAGAGACAACAGCTGTTCTGAATCTGGCGCTTATCCTTCCCAAGAATGCTTTTAGCATTTGTTACTTTAAAAGGATCACGGGTCTAGACTCTCTTATCTCCTCCTCCTACACCTGCACAAAGTGAGCCTCCTACTAAGAAAGGACCTGGCTTCTAAAGGGGGGCTGAGGAGCTGGGAGAATAAAACAACTGCATTTACTGCTGTATTTACTTCCATGGGACCTTAGCAGCCTTCATCTTTGAAATCATGGCAAGTCCACCTTGCGGTTGGGCTCGAAGATTCAACCAGACGAACAGTAATAAGGCCTTGGGCCCAGGGCCTGGTTTATGGTGAAGGCTTGATAAATATTAGCTATTTATGGTGACGGCTTCATAAATATTAGCTATTATTATTATTCCTACCGCGTCCCCGCTGGATGAATGCTTGAAAGGTGGCTATGTGTATGGAGGGGGAAGGTCTCGTTTCTACCCTGAGATACTCACGTCACCCACGGGTAGGACAAGTGGAAAGCAGCCCAGGGCGTGGCCTCGAAAGCGCCTAGCAGACCCGGCCATTGCCCCTCAGCATGGCGGTTAAGCTCTGCCAACGGCCGCTCACAGCCCGGGCCTCATTGGTGAAGACCTGGAGGCCGGCCTGCCAGCCAATCAGAGGGAGGCAGGGCACAGCCTCTGGCTTGCGCGGAGCGCCAGAGGGGCGTCCTTGTGCGTCGAGTCATGTCAATTTTGGCTCCCTGGCTACACTGGCACTGCCGTGAGTGGAAGGCACTATCGGCTTTACTTAATGTTGGTTCTCCCGGACTATCGCATGATAGGCATGTAATTGGTGAATAAGTAGATGGGAAATGTACACCCCACCCCCCAAACTTTTAAATCTTTGCCACTTAACAAATCGGCGCAGAAGCTCATTCTCAAGTTTAGGTCCTTGGGACTCCCAAGTTTGATTCCCAGCAGCACGGACATCACCTCAAGGTCTATTCCAAATTTACTAAATTATACCCTCCAAATTTACTAAATTAGGTTCTGCATTTTAAGATCCCAGATGATTCCTATGCACCTTTAGGTCTGAAAACAACTATTCTGGCCAGATTCATTTGACCTGATATTAAAAGTAGCTTAGGTGCCATGGGAGAGTTAAAATCTAGGGCTACATTCTTTCGAATCCAAGTATTTTAGTTGTCCTATCTTGAGCCTCTGTTATTTTCCTCAAGCCCCAAGGTGAGATTTAATCAATGTTCTATTGCAACAGAGTAAATCGTGTGTTTATAGCATGCATTCTTTTTTTTTTGCATTTTTTTAATTTAAATTTTATTTTTATATTCCCCATACAATTACAACCCCCTTATTTTGACCCCAATTCCTCCCCTTCCTGCCCCTCACCTCCCATAGAGTGTCTCTGGTTCATAGTTGTTTGTTGATTTTGATTTTCACTTTCTTATAGTTATTCATTTTCCTGGTCCCATATATAAGTTTTCTAGATTCCTGCTATGAGTGAGACCATCCGGTATTTTTCTTTTTCTTTCTGGCTTGTTTTGCTGAGCATGATCCTTCCAGCTCCATCCATGTTGCTGCAAATTGCATGTATTTTTCTTTTTTGAATGCTGAGTAATATTCCATGGTGTATATGTACCACATCTTCTTGATCCAGTCATCTATTTTTGGGCATTTGGGTTGTTTCCAAAGCTTAGCTATTGTAAATAATGCTATAGCATGCACTCTTACCAACAGGACTATTTGCTAAGCCCAGAGTAATAAGTTTGTAAAATACACAACTTGCATATTTCATTAAGATAGCTTTTCTTCCATTACATAGCTAACATTATCTACAAGAGAAAAACAGATCTCAGTCATTATCTCAATAATTCATATAGAAAATTCATGCTTGGAAGAATGTGACTCTTGGGACTCAATTACAATTTCTCCTCATGTATATAGACCCCAGTCACTGAATGAATGAAAAAAAAAAATTCTGTCTCTAATTCTTTCACTAGTCGCTACTATAACAACGACAATTCAGGCAACATAGCAAAGTTTTTGAAACTATTACCAATATTACTTTATTTATTTTTAAGATTTATTTTATTTATACAAGAGCCAGGGTACAGGCTAGATGCCCAGGAGGGTGAGACGACTCACCAGAGACAGAGCAGGGAACAGAACATGCAGACTGATGAAATACGCTGCTGAGGGGAGCAGCAGGTGAGACAGGAGAGGTCTGCTTGCAATGTGGGTTGCTCCGAGGCCAGCGGGGATGGAACTGGCACTGCAGAGACTGTGGACAGCTTCACAGTGCTGCACCCAACCACCTGGGCCACCAGGGAGGCCCTATATTACTTTATTTTGATCAGATGAGATTGGGTGCATTCAGGGTAGTATGGCTGCAGACTTACTTACTTACTTTATTTATTTATTTATGCATACAAGAGCAGGGGTACAGGCCAGAGGTGTGGAGGGTGAGAGAATTCACCAGAGACAGAATGGGGAACAGAACAGGCAGACTGACTGAAATACACTGCTGAGGGGAACAGCCGGTGACTCAGGAGAGGTCTGCTTGGCCATGTGGGTTGCTCCCTGTCCGGCCTGGTGATGGAACTTGTGCTGCAGAGACTGAGGACAGCTTCATAGGTTGCATCTTAACCCCTTGCGCCACCAGGCAGGCCCAACTTTATTTTGAAAGTACAATTTTACAAGTGTGGTTTTCCATTTTAATGGTGGTAGTGTTAGGGGGAAAGGATGTCCTGAGCTAACTCCATACAGGCTTTGTGGACTCCACCCCCACTCCAAACCAAAGCCATCAAGACATTAGAAAAGACAAATCCCTTCACCACCAAAGGGAAAGTTGCTGGGACCTGAGGGTGGAGTTAAGCAGCCAGGTTTGGTATAAAAACCAGACACGTGGGCCTTGGGGTCTCTCTCTTGCTCGCCTCCTGGCTTCACGGCTTGTGGCTCACAGCCAGCTCTCAGAGTGCCATTTGGAATTTCAGATCGGCAGATAGGGTAGGATGCATTTAAGACTTTATCTCCCACTTTTCTCCCTGAGTTGTACATTTTTCTCATTTCCCCTTCCCTTGTGAATAAATCTTTTATTAACCTTTTGTGTGTGCCTGCAGTGGGGTATTAAGTCCCTTTTAAGCGCGTGGGTGAGGACCCACAGTCAGGCAACCAGTTTTATATCGGGGCTGCCCCGTAGCAGTAGCACGGAAGACTGATCCATTTCTCAGATTGTTTAGACTGACTATGCTAATTTGGATAAGAATAAACACACCTTTTTTGGGTTGCTCTTGGCTGTCTTGCTGTTACAGTCTGTCCAGTTCCTCAGTTTCCTCAACAGCTAAAAGCAGGTAATAACAATAACTCATGATATGGTTTTTTGTGAAGATCAGAAATTTAGACCAGAGCCTGCTGTATACCAAGTGCTCAACAAATATTAGGTATAATGACTTTTTTTTTTTTTAAAGCTTAGACAGGTTCATCTATTTTTTTTTTTTTTAAACATTTATTTATTTATTTATGCAAGCACTGGGTACAGTCAGAAGCGCGGGAGAGTGAGAGAATTCACCAGAGCCTGAGCGGGCAGCAGAGCAGGCAGAGTAACGAAACACACTGCTGAGGGGAGCAGCGGGCAGCAGGAAAGGTCTGCAAGCCATGTGGGACCCTCGCCGGAGGCCGGGGATGGAACCGGTGCTGTGGAGGCTGCGGGCAGCTTCGCAGCCCAGCACTCAACTGCTGCGCTACCCGAGAGGCCCTTAACTATTATTTTTTAAAGCCAAATCGAGGACCAGATGCCAATTCAGTTGCCCCTCAGTTAGTATAGTTGTTTCTTCCATACCATATCCAAGAAGGTCTGATAAGGTCAAATTGTTATAGAACAGGGAGAGGGGCAGCCCAAACCCCGCAAACCTGCCTATTCTAAATGGGTTCTGCCATCCGCTGCATCAACACAAAACACATGAGACTAATGGGAAGGATCTTTAATAAAACTAGGAAACAATACAGGTAAGGCAAAGAGTCTAGTTTCTAAATGAAGCACCCAAAGTTACCCATCCCCTCGTGGGTAAAAGTCCATCCATATGGGATCCGCCCAGAACAAGGCC